TTCCCAGGAAGATTCAGAAAAGCCCTTAGATATTAGGGGATTGGGGCTTCAGTTTTCTACATTTGTTAAATGTGAGAGGGGTGGAGCCAATAACTAGTGAGGTTTTTATCCCCAGCCCGAAATGTTTATGAACTTTCAAAGGGACACAGGAGCCAGCCTCAAAGAGCTCCCAGTATTCAAAGCAGGAACACTTTGATTAACATAATAAATAATATAGTATTTAATTATAGCACAAAGCATAAAGTGAACATACATGAGTCCATGCTGATATAAATATATGATTGACTAGATTAATAAATGGGACAGGAGGAATAAATCCTCCTTACTGAATAATTCCAGTAATATATGTAGGTACGCTTTCCCACCCTCTAGGTGGAGTTTGATTTCCCCACCCTCCTCTCTTGATAAGGGCTGAACTTAGTGACTCTCATCCAAAGAAAAGAGTATGGAAAAAGAAAAACAGTAACTGTGCAGTGGAGAGAGCTCTCAGACACTACTTTAACCAAGTGATAAATGTTAACTCACCTTGCTATGGTGTATCCTGACAGAAGGCGGTGATGAGAAAGGCACTTGCCCACTGTGGTCTTCCTCCACCACACCCATAACCACACTTTAATCATGAGGAAAACATCACACAAAACGAAATGAGAGCTATCCACAATATAGCTTAGCAGAATCCTTTAAAACCGTCAAGAAAAACAAGACGCAGAAACTGTTAACACACCAAGACAAGACGCGAAATGCGGGGTGCAATCCTGGATGGGGGATCCTGAAACAGAGAGGAGGAAACCTTGCAAAATCTGTGTAAGATGGAGTTCAGTTCATAGCAACAGGCCGATGTTAATTTCATAGTTTTGACAAATGTACCCTGCACCCGTGTAACATACACACACGTGGGGTGTGAATATCAAGGGGGCACGGGCTGAGCGGTTTAGGGAAGTCTGTCCTAGCTCTGCAACTTTTTCTTAAATCTAAAATTACTCCACAATCAAAAGTTTTATGATAAACCACGAAGACAAAAGTTTACGAAGTGAGAGTGCAAACAGAACCTCCCTCAAAAGCAGTAGCGATACCCCCTTCACATCACTCTACGGAGAGGCGTGCAGGGTTCGGGACCTGGGGCGGCCGTGGTGGGGGGGGGGGGGCTGCGGGGAGCGCACACCCGGGTGCGCAGAGCAGGGCCGGTGCCCCGGGGCGCGGCGGGAGCCCAGGCTCCTCCCCGGAGTCTCCCCGGCGCCGAACTCTGCCCCGGACGCGCCCTGCGGGGCGGAGCCCAATCTAGACGCCGAGGAGCCACCGACGCCCCACGGAGCCGACCCAGGCCGGGGGCGGGAGAGCAGCACCGGGACCCCGCACTGGCTCAGCGCGCTCCCTGGGAGGCGAGCCCCGGCGGTCGGCGATCTCGCCCCTGTGGCGCGCGCCAGGCCACTCCCCACCCCCCTCCCAGGTGAGTGGGCGCCCAGGGCCCTCGGAGCAGCTCAGTGCACCCCGGGCATACACCGGTCTTGGTGAGGAGGATATTCCTTTCTGTAAACCTCTCTGTGTCCTGGTTCTGATTCCTTGGCTGAGAAGTTTCTGCTCTGGAAGAGAAAGAGTGCCTTCCCCCACCTCCACCCCCCCTCCCCGGAGAAAGAACGACCCTCCTTAGCCCGGTGCACACAGGTTATTTATTTAGGTCAGTGTTTTAGGTTAGACCTCCTTTGCCAGGAGGTCTCCACGACTGGGAGGACCGGAAGACTTGCTGTCGCCTCGGAACGCCCGCATGGTTGCTTTGACAGGTCACCTGGGCCCACAACGTTTAAGAGCACAGATGAATGAATAAAGGTGGTTGTCTTACCCTTCGTTCATTCGTGCTGGCTTCTGTAGCCGCCGGTGTAGCAAAAAGAGAACTGCCCACCGGTTGACAGTTTGCTACCCTCGTGGGATGGTGGAGCTGGAAGTTGCAGAGCGCTGGGTAGTTGTGCAAAGGAGCAGTATTATCTTACTGAAGAATAGCGCAGCGTAGTGCGAAAGTAGTTTTTGGATTGGGTGAAGACATGGCTGTAAGCTTTTCAGCCTTCTTCAGAAGGGGGGGGGGGAATAGACATATGTAAGATCAGAAGAAGCGTTTAGCCCCAAACGTGACTGAGCTGTGTCTGATTACCCTTACACTATCCTTGTTATTTTAGGAATCAAAACTCTCTTGACTTTCTTGGTATCCATAGACCAAATGAAGCATCAAAGGGAATTCTTCTGCATTTGCAATAGGGAAAAGATAATCTGTCCTTTTGATTTTGCCTAATGCTATTAAATCTTCAGTTCTGCAGAAGCCTGGTTTTTCAGAAATATGATCTGAGCCAGAGTCTCAGGTACCCTGGCAAACACAATTGGTGCTGTTGTTTCCTTTCCTGGCCTGTCTCCCTCTCCCTCTCTCACAGCCCCACCCCTCCCCAACACTGAGAGTTTGAGGGTGAAGGTGCCTGACACAGAGGAATTTGTGCCTAAGGCTGGGAATACCCTGGTGGCTGCTCAGCTACTTAGAGACAGAATGAAAACAGCTTACAGGTCCCGAGACGGGCAAATTTCATAAGGTTCCTGTCTTTGTGATTTGCTAAGTAAGTTTGGTAGATAAACTTGCACTAACTAAAAAGAGACTTTTGAAATAAATACCGACACTATTTCAGTTATATCATTCACCTTTATGATTTGGTGAATTAATAATAACAGTCATGTTGTTTGTTAGCTGATTGATTTACAATGTGCTGGACAGCGAGCTTGAGTTGCCATCCAAATCCTGACTAACGCTGAAAAATTAGGTGTATATTTATTTGTTTGGAATAATGACTGAAAATGGAAGGAGCGGAAGGTTTTGAAGGGAATCTAAAAGTATTTTAAAGGAGTGGTTTCAAATCTTTCGAACTGGGATATTTACAGAAAAATTATAGGCCATTTATCAATAGAAAAGTTCATAATGGCAGAATGTTATTATCAATTTAATAACATGTTCAAGTGAATTTGCGTTTTATTTTTTTTATTTTTTTTTTTATCTATTTTTTTTTATTTATTTATTTTTGGGACACAGAGAGACATAGCATGAACGGGCGAGGGGCAGAGAGAGAGGGAGACACAGAATCGGAAACAGGCTCCAGGCTCTGAGCCCGACGCGGGGCTCGAACTCACGGACCGCGAGATCGTGACCTGGCCAAAGTCGGACGCCTAACCGACTGCGCCACCCAGGCGCCCCGAATTTGCGTTTTACGAAGCAGGAAAACAGTCATCTACATGGGTTTGTAGAAAACAAAAGCAAGAGTGTGAGCACATTCAGTGTTAGACAATAATTGGTGCATATGTGGGCCCACTCACGCATTTCTTGAGCACCTGTTGAGTAGGCCACCGTGTTCGGAGTTCAAGTCAGGAGGGGGCGGTGGATACAGCTTTGTGTAAGTAAGAAATAAGTCACATTCCTGTCCTTGTGGAATTTACACAATGCTGGAGTCCTCCAGGATACCTGAAGCTCATAGATAAGAACCGTATCAATGATCATCCATCAATTTTGACAGTAACTGAAACTAGATCATCTTCAAATCACACACTCTGTACGGATTTCAATAGTCAACTCTCAAAATTGTAAAGGAACTTATATTTTTTTCAGGTCAGTGTTTTTCTCTTTTGCTTAGGTTGGGGAAGAACTTGGAAATCACGTGTTCTGGTTTTAATTTTAAGAAAAATTGAGGGGCGCCTGGGTGGCGCAGTCGGTTAAGCGTCCGACTTCAGCCAGGTCACGATCTCGCGGTCCGTGAGTTCAAGCCCCGCGTCGGGCTCTGGGCTGATGGCTCAGAGCCTGGAGCCTGTTTCCGATTCTGTGTCTCCCTCTCTCTCTGCCCCTCGCCCGTTCATGCTCTGTCTCTCTCTGTCCCAAAAATAAATAAACGTTGAAAAAAAAAAAAAAAAGAAAAATTGAGATATTAAGCCTGAAATAGCTAACTATCAATTTCATGCCAGTTAAATAAAAACCAAACTTTCACTGTGGATGCCAGTAATTTAGCATATAAATCAATGAATGAGAAACTTCAAGTTGAGAAGCTTCTATCTTATCAGATTACTTTGTCCTATAAATTAGAAAAATATGACTGCAATTATATTTTACCCCAGAGGAAAGGACTTATTTTACCCAACGTATTTTCGCTTGTTGTTGTTGTTGCTGTTTTTTTTTTTTTTTACAGCTTATTGGAGGCATACTTTACATACTGTAAAATATATCCAAGTGTGTAACCCAATGATTTTTAGTAAATTTATGGAATTGTGACCAAAGGCCAATCCATCACTGCCATCCAATTTTAGAACATTCTCATTATCCCTGAAAGACTCCACCTGCCTATTTGTTATGACTATCCTCAACCCCATTCCCAGACAACCACTGATCTATTTTCTCTCTCTTTTGATTTGACTTTCTGGACATTTCACACAAATGGGATCACAAAACGTATATAGTCTTTAGCATCTAGTTTCCTTCACGTAGAACAGTGTTTTTGAGGTTCATACATGAGGTGTAGCACGTATCAGTAGTTGGTTCCTTTTTATTGCTAACTAATATTCATTCCGTGGTGCAGCTAGCCCACATTTTGTTCACCAGCGGGTAGGTATTTCTGCATTTACCTTTAAGTGGTAAGACAGATACTGCGGTCCAGCTTCCATGGTAGCATAATGTGAAATAATTGTAGGGTCCAACCTCTTATTTATACTTATGAAAAATATATTCATGGTATGGAATACACCAATAGTTTCTGTGTTGGCCATAACTGTGATCTTTCTATGACGCTCCCACAAAAAGAGTAAATAGTCAACCCTGTGCAAGGAACAGAAAGCATGAGTCATTTGGTATTCTAGGCTGGACTCGGAAGATGTTTCACTCTTTTTTTTATTTTTTTCATGTTTATTTATTTTTTTAGAGAGAAAGACAGAGGGTGAGCAGGGGAGGGGTAGAGAGAGAGGGAGACACAGAATCCAAAGCAGGCTCCAGGCTCTAAGCTGTCAGCCCATGAACCGTGAGATTATGACCTGAGGCAAAGTCGGACATTTAACCAACTTGAGCCACGCAGGCGCCCGGAAGATGTTTCACTCTTGACATTAATATTTGCGAAGAGACTACATCTCCTTTGCTACCTGCTCTTCACAAATGATGCATTTAGAGTGGGCGAATTTTGATGATTGTTTTACTTAACAGTGATAACTGAAGTACTCTCAAAAATATGAGTGCTTCCTAATAACATATTTTAATGGCACACTTAACGTAAAGCATATCAGAAATTTCTAGCACTGCAAAAGCATTGACCTTTGGTTTCCCTCTCTTAGGAATCAGGAACCTTGAACAGCAGCTCAGTCAGAACCCCCACTCACCCTGCTTTGTGCGGACTACTACAGCAAATGCATTCTTAGGTTACACTTGACAATTTATGCTTAAAGATCCTCTTAGAAGGATTTCTCCGGTTGAGTAGAAACCCTTCTAGTCAAAGTTGGCAGATTCTGTGAAACTCAAGAGAAGACAATGTCTCTTCATGCGTGGAAGTTACTGCTGACATTACACTTTCCTGTTGGGGAAAAAAGAACATTAATATAATTTAAAGGTTGATTTTATTGATGACTTGGAATGCAAAGGATTTTATTTTTAAAATTCTAAAATTTGAAAGCAAGATAGTTTAGATTAAATAATGTAGTTTTCCAAAGCTGAATGTGCTGAATAGAACTCGTTTTTTTTTTTTTCTTCTTCTTCTTCTTTCTGCTTGAAATACCGGAACAACTTGCTGAAATCCCTTGGGTGAGAACACTGTGGTTTTGATGATCTGTGATTGGATGAATTAATCAGTCTCCACTGGTAATGTCTTTTTTTTTTTTTTTTTAACTTGGTAAGGTTCAAAAACTTCTAGAAGAAGTGCATTTTTCTAGGCTTCCACTGACAGTGTCATTCCAAATGTCTTCTAAGAGTCATATACCATTTACAAGAACCTGTCATCGCCCTTCCCACTTTTATATGCTCTGAAATTGGTGGGGACATGCACGCGTTCTTTCTTTTTAATGTTTATTTATTTTTTTGAGAGAGAAAGAGAGAGCAATCAAGCAGGGGAGGGGCAGAGAGAGAATCCCAAGCAGGCTCCACACTGTCAGCGCAGAGCCTGACGTGGGGCTCAATACTACAAACTGTGAGATCATGACCTGAGCCAAAATCAAGAGTTGGACGCTTAACCAACTGAGCCACCCAGTTGCCCTAGTAGTTCATTCTTCCCTATTGATGACTGAGATTCAACCTGTGGATGAATATTTAAATTTTTCCCAGTGTTTGGCAAATGGAAACATTTGTGCTTTATGGAACATAGAGCTTCATTTACCTTGGGTAGATACCTAGAAGTGGGATTGCTGGGTTGTACAGTGTGTGCATAGCTTTATAAGAAACAGCCTAAGGGCTCTCCAACATGGCTGCCCCTTTTGCATACCTGTCAGCAACAGGAGTTCCAGGTGTTCTACATCCTCATTCAAACCTGGTATTTTCTGTCTTGCCCCCTCAGTAGATAATTTTTTCAATGAAGGAAATTATGTTGAAGCGAAACTATTCCAAGATGAGTTTCAGAAGCTAAAGACATGCAGTAGATTCCTGAGCCCTCCACTCTTCAAATATTTTATAAAGCCACAACAGAAATTTTCCAAAAGGGCACCTTCCTTGTAAATTTACCCATGACTCAGATATATATCATTAATGTGTGCTGCTTTTCATTTTCTCTTCACTGATAAGTCGTAAGTGGCTTCTGAGTTGTTAACTGAGGTCAGAGCAGAAAGAATAGTTGACTGATTGGGGGTGGGTGGTGGAGGGTGGATAGTGAGGGGACAGCTGAGCTTAGACATTGACACTTCCAAGTGATGTCCTGTAATCAAATGTCCTCAATAAGCTGTGGTCCGAACCCACTGTTTTTTACACCATGAAGCCATACTGCTTCGGTTCGTGGAATAAATCTACTGAGACAGAAACATCTGCTCATGTTTCAAAAGGACACACTGGGGAGCTCACAGCAGGAGTAAATTGACTGTTACTTAGTGACCTGACTACTATACTAACTTGGGCCTAAGAAATTAGACTTAGAAACCCATTCAGAATTCAGCAGAAAGCAAGGTAGTAAGTTGGAAAGAGCCAGGAGACTTATGGCTTGCGATCCACGACCATCATTAACTAGCTGTCTTTGCTTTATCTTGCTCAGCCTCATTTCCTCATCTGTAAAATGGGAATAATGACACCAACCTCTCAGGGTGTTTATGAGGATTATTAAAGGCAGCAAACTCTAGCTTGAATATAGTAGGCACTCAGCAGGCTCTGGTCTCTGTTCCCTAGTCCTCCCCAAATTGGAATGGATTCATGTGATTTGTACCTTTTGTAGTTCAGCTGCTATACTGGGCACTAGGTGAAATCTTCAGCTGTTTTCAAAATTTCAAATTATGCCAATGAACTATGAAGATAGATTATTTCATTACAAAGATACCTGGATTTAAGGTCACTTCACCTGGGCTCAAGTGGAGAGGTCAGTTTATGACCCTGAAAAAATTTATATCACTTTTCTGTGACTTGGTTGCATTATACCTATGTATATGGGTGGATTTAAATATAGCCACAGATATACAGATAATAGATATAGCACAGTATATTGTAATGATCAATTTTGACAATATAGGGAAAATGATTTTTAATAAATGGCACAGTGTTTGTCAATTGCAATTATTTGTATATTGTATTTGTGCCAATGTTTTGATCCTTTTAAAAAATGAAATAGCTTTTATTTCATATCTAAGAGCTTTCTATAGCATGGGTCATGATGTAGATATATGTTTGTATACATATGAGTGTCACAAATGAATAAAATTAATTCTGCTTAAAAAATCTTAGATTATTACTTGAAAACAGTGTTATTATTACTTGAGCTCAGTGCTAACATGTATGGCTTTTGAAATACTGTTTGTTATGTTCAGGTAAACTGCACAGTCACCTGAGATTTAGCCAGCTGACACTGGATGTCACCATTGTGCTATGTAATGTAGTTGCAGAACAGGTGTGCTGTTTAATATTCAGCACACGGTCAGTCTCTCCAAGGGCTTGGAGATATGTTAGCTTTTTTCCCTCACATAACCTAATTACCCGTGTTCACTTTTATTGCAAGTTACTTTTTCAGTTTCTAATATCTAAGCTCCAAACAATAGTGACCAAGAATGATGAAACAATATTCAGTATTGTTAGCTCAGAACCGAGAAACTGACAACTCAGAAACTGTGCTGAAACCAGTCGGGGCTCCTGGTTGCAAACCAGTCAGTTAAGCGAATTGATTCTAGATAACTTAAGTTGAAAAGGAGCTTACTGGTTTGGAAATGGAAGAATCCAGTGTGCTGGTACTTGATCAAAGATCAGTCTGTCACGAGAGTAAGATGGAGTCCTGGCATCGCCACTGGTCCCTAGACACCACCACTGGTGTTGCTGCCATCTGGACACAAAGCCCCGCTCTATGCCAGTCTCCTTCCCTTCCCAGGAGAATTATGGGGCTTTCACTGCCTCCAGCTTCAGCATGCCAAGGGCCAATCCCTGAGTGCTGTTTCCAGATGGGAGCACTCAAGTGGCTCACTTTCTCCAGGCCCAGGAAGTGAGGAAGAACAAGTGAGGGACCTTTCCTGCAAAGACTCATACAGGTGTGATTCCACATAATCTGCGGAGGAGATTCAAGGGCTGGACAGTCAAAACACGCATGTAACCACCATGGTGCCTTTCGGGTAACGCCCATAGAAGTGAGTTGAGAATACTGCTGTGCAGTCAGCTGGATTTTATTGTCCCTTCTGTGCACGGACCTGGAGTCAGTTGCATATGCCTTGTGGCACACTTTCTCCCGCACTTTGCTACACCCTGCCTTTCCTTCAACCTTGAGAGAGCCATACCAGCCAGGAGTAGACCTGTTTGAAGTAGCTAAGGAGACACCTCCTCTAGTCAACTGGAAGTCTTAACAAGTTTCAGTATTAAAAAAAAAAAAAATCCCTGCTACATTGAAAGAAAAGAAAAAGAAGTGGCAGGCTACATTGCATACCTTGTTGTTCCAAGAACATTATTCCGAGCAACTTCCAGCCTTTCTCTTGCTCCCCACTTTGCCTGGCATCCTCTTCTCCCAGGTGGCCACACAAATTCAGTCTTTTTAGTCAAGTCTTTTGCTTGAATGCCACCTCTTCAGATGGGCCTTCCCTCACCACTGACCCAAAACAGCACCTCCTTTTATTTTGTTGCCCTTCGCTACTTTTCTCCATCACTCTTGTCACCCACCTCTCGCTACATTCCCTGTGTATTCACTGGTTTGTTCCATATCTGTCTCCTCTCCGTACTGAAAGTCCCGTGAAGGCAGGGTGTCTGGTGCACTTCTGTGGCCACAGCACCCGACACAGCTGTATTCTAATCAATATTTAATATATGAATGAATCGATCAAAGGTTACATAGAGGAAGAAAATACCTTTGTTAGCATCTCAAAATATAAACAGTTCCTGTATTCATTTCCTGGGACTGCTCTGACAGAGTACCACAAGCTAAGTGGCTTAAACGTAGTAATTTCTTGTCTCACTGTTGTGGAAGCTGGAAGTCCAAGGTCAAGGTGTTGGTCGGGGTAGGGTCTTCCGAGGCTGTGAGGAAGAGTCTGTTCCATGTTTTTCCTCCAGCTTCTGGTGGTTTGCTTGCCATTTTAGGTATTCTTTGAGGTAGAAGCATCACCTTGTTCTCTATCTTCAAATTTATGTGACATTCTCCTGTGTACCCCTGTGTCCAAATTTTTATAAAAACACCAGTCATGATGGATGAAGGGCCCAGCCTACTCCAGTGTGACTTCGTTTAACTAATTACATCGGTAATAATCCTATTTCCTAATAAGGTTACATTCTCAGATACTGGGGGTCAAGACTTCAACATAGGAATGGGGAGGGAGCAAAATTCAGCTCCATAACAGGGCCTTTGATGTGTTTATTGTATAATGGATAAGCCATTCTTATGTCATTAAATAGAGAAGTAGGTTTAGTTACATTATCCTGGGCACCCATGGATGTGTTGGTTGATCACACAGATTACAATTAATGCTTATGAATTGCTTTATACATTGTAAACTATTCATTATATGTTAGCTTAATCAGGTGATGAATTATTGATGTGTTATTGAGAAAGAACCAATACCGTGGATTTGCCAGTCTTAAAATCCCAGAAACAGATTTTCCTTTATAGCCCGCTCAGTCTGCAGACTGTTTGAAATATTACCTGGTTCTTCTTCTCTACTACTCAGATTGCTTATCAGCAGTCATTGTGGATAATGGATACATATTTTATTTACTCATTGGACAAACACATACAAATCATTTATTATGTGCTAGGTGCTGTTTTAAGTGCTTGGAAAATGTTAACTCACAACCTCATATTGTTTATTATTTCTGTCATTATTCATTATTAATTTTATCTGAATTTTACTGCTAAGGAACCCGAGGCGCAAAGAAGTTAAGAAACTTGCCCAAGGTCACACAGCTGCTGAGTGCTGAGTTGTAGAATGTTCTTTCTTCACAGAAAGCCTCGTAGAACAATTCAGTGTGCGACAGAACAAAGCAGAACTGCTTTGGTTCACGTGGAGGTGGCAAAGCCCTGTCTACTTAGCACCATTCTTTCCTCCTGGGAGCCCTGCTCGAAAAGCCCTGATCTAGAAACTAACACCTTTTGGCACGATGCCACTTGGAAGCTCTCTTCAATCCACTCTAGCATAAAACAAATAAAATTCTTCTCTCACTTTCATTAACTGATTGTGTTTTATTTTGAAAATTTTATCTGCCTAATCTACTCCTGGCAGAAATCAAAGGCTAAGATGGATTTTCCCCAGGATGGTAATGCCATATGGCAATTTGGACTTTGCTGGATTAAGCTCCCCTTGGACTTCTTTATACAAATCAAGGGCGCAAAAATTTCCTGAATCAAAGAGAGAACATTTGAATAGCGTTGGATGTAAACTTTGCAACCAGATAAGCATGAACTGACCCCTCTGTTACAGGCTGCACGTCTTCTGTGGTTATTAATAATACAAAATAATAGGAGTGACCATATTAACCATTACTGTCCATTAGTGCCTTGTGCAACCAACAAATTGAAAAAAAAAAAAAAAACCCTCAGGGACACCTGGATGGCTCAGTCATTAAGCCACCGACTTCAGTTCAGGTCATGATCTTGCAGTTCAGGAGTTCCAGACCTGCGTCAGGCCTCTGTACTGACAGCTCAGAGCCTGGAGCCTGCTTCAGGTTCTGTGGCTCCCTCTCTCTCTGCCCCTCCCCTGCTCACACTCTGTCTCTCTCTCTCTCTCAAAAATAAATAAAACATTTTAAAAAAATGCTCAGAGGGGTGCCTGGGTGGCTCACTTGGTTAAGCAACTGACTCTTGATCTCTGCTCAGGTGATGATCTCATAGTTTGTGAGTTTGAGCCCCGTGTCAGGCTCTGTGCTGCTTGGAATTCTCTCTCCCTCTCTTTCTGCCCCTACTCCACTCGTGCTCTCACTCTCTCAAAATAAATAAATAAACTTTTAAAAAATTACAAAGGTAGGTGTTTTACCTCTATTTTACAGATACAGGTAAGTCGAGGCTAAAATTTTATGTAACATATTTAAGATAGCCCAACCAGTGAGTGGAGGAGATACGATAATTTGAGAAATATCAATGATTAAGGAGCATAATTCCTTGATATTAAGAATAAAAGGCATGAGGGGCGCCTGGGTGGCTCAGTCTGTTGAGCGTCCGACTTCAGCTCAGGTCAGGATCTCGCGGTCTGTGAGTTCGAGCCCCGCGTCGGGCTCTGGGCTGATGGCTCAGAGCCTGGAGCCTGCTTCTGATTCTGTGTCTCCCTCTCTCTCTGCCTCTCCCCCGTTCATGCTCTGTCTTTCTCTGTCTCAAGAGTAAATAAAACGTTAAAAAAAAATTTAAAAAAAAAGGAATAAAAGGCATGAAAGAGAGTGTATTTAGGATATATAACATGAGGCCCAATGTGATTTTCAAATTATGAAAGACTGTGAGAATCCATCAGAACCCTTTCTGAAGAGTGGTTAATTCCTGTTCTGAAATGCCCCTTATCATTTGTTAATGTACACAGTGTGTAATGCTCTAAAAAGAAAAAAAGAATGCAAATCAATCAAATGGGACCATAGATCCAGGGGGACTGAACTGGAGAACAAAACAGAACTCAGACCCAACTGATTATTCTGCTTGCCTATATTTTCCCACAGATTGTGCTACACCCTAACCCAGGGGGCAGCAAACTTTTGCTGTAAAGGACCAGATCGTAAATATTTGAGACGTTGCTTGCCACATATTTTCCCTGTCAGAACCACTCGACTCCACTGTCGTAGGGAGAAAGCAAAAGCACAGACAATATGTAAATGAATGGCTGTGGTTATCGTAAACCTTCATTTGTGGACACGAAATCCTCACTTGATATAGTTTTCATGTGTCACAAAATGTTCTTGTTTTGATTTTTGGGGTGTGTGTGTGTGTGTGTGTGTGTGTGTGTGTGTATGTGTGTGTGTGTGTGTGTATGTGTGTGTGTTGGACCATTAAAAGCTGTAAGAACCATTGTTAGTTCCTAGGCTTTGCAAGTAGGTGGGAAGCCAGACTGGGCTCACGTGGTTTGCTGACCGTGCCCTTCTAGTTTATAGACACACTATTTATTGTCTCTGTAGATGTTGCTTTTATTTCAAGTTTCATTTAAATGCTCTTTTGGGACCAAGAACTTCATCCCAGAAGAGATGTCAGAGGACTAAGTACCAGAGGCACCTCCACTCACAGACTGCAGACAAGACTTGCTGAATTGCAGCTGCCAAATCAACTTCAGGCAAAACAAATAGAAGCCATTGTGGCTAAGAGGATTTATGATAAAATGGAAAATTCTTGGCATACTCTGTCAATTTCATTGAAGGTTAAAGGATAAACACAGGACTTTGAGTTATCCCAGAAGCTATCTGGTTTTAAAATGATGCTAGCAAAAAATATGAAAATTCTTCGTGTGCTTTAACAGCACAGGTCATTGATAAATTTTAAATATTTTTGTTTGTTTGTTTGTTTTTTCTCACTAGGGAAGCCAGGCTTAATGTGATGGAAACACTCTTGAACTTGGTGTCCAGAAGACAAAGTCTTGAGTTACAGCTCTGTTAGTTTTACTGTGACCTTGGGTAAGTTACCACCTATGGGAGTCTTGGCTTCCTTATCAGCAAGATGATATGAATAATCCTACCTCACAGGGCATTTCGTTTTACTTATTTTATTTTTTTTGTTCTTTGCTATTTATCATGAAAATTTCAAACAGAAATAGACAGAGGAGTGTGCCCTTGCCTGCTTCAACAACTCCCTGCATTTTGCCAAACTTCTTTCATCTTTACCCCACCAGATTTTTTTTCTCTACTAGAGCATTTTACAGCAATTGCAAATGTAACATTATTTTACCTGCAAATATTTCAGTCTCTATGACTAACAGAAAAGATCTTTCAAAAGATCTATCATAAGTCTAATATCATACCTAGCAAAACTAGTGATTCTTTAACATCATCTATTATCCAGTCAGTGTTAAAATCCCCCCAGTCGTCTCAAAAATGACTTTATGTAACTGGTTTATTTGAATCAAGAGCCAAAGAAGATCCAGATATTGCATTTGGTCACATGTTTCTTAAGAGCCTTAATTTATGGCAATTTTCCTTCTCTTCTCCCCCATCTTCCTTTATGTAATTAATTTGTGGAAGGAACTAGTTATTTTCCTGTAAAATTTCACATAATTGGGATTTGGCCGATCGCAACCTTCACCCTTGTAGAGTCATTGAACATTTTCCTCTTATTCAGATACTCACTGTCCTTAGATATAGAGGCTTGATCAGATTCAAGTTCACTTTTTTTTTAATTTTTTTAACGTTTATTTATTTTTGAGACAGAGAGAGACAGAGCATGAATGGGGGAGGGGCAGAGAGAGAGGGAGACACAGAATCGGAAGCAGGCTCCAGGCTCTGAGCCATCAGCCCAGAGCCCGACGCGGGGCTCGAACTCACGGACCGCGAGATCCTGACCTGAGCTGGTCGGACGCTCAACCGACTGAGCCACCCAGGCGCCCCAAGTTCACTTTTTTTTTTAAGCATACTTTGTGGGTGATGCTTTCTACTTATGATTGTACCACATCTAGAGGACAAAGTACCTGGTTGTCTCTTTCTATTTATGTTAAGATTGATTAGTGTGGTTCCCCAGGTTAATGCATTCTTCATCAACCTCTCACCTAATGATTTTAGGACTGGTTGATAGCTATTGTTTAGATCCATTACCTCCTAAGAGATTGCAAAATGTAGTCTTCCAATTCCATCAGTCCATTTGGATTTATTAGTAGAAATTCTTTTTTTTAAGTTTTTATTTATTTATTTTGAGAGAGAGGGAGAGAGAGAGAATCCCAAGCAGGCCCCACACCAGTAGCTCGGAGCCCAACACAGGGCTCGAACCCATGAACCGTGAGATCATGACCTGAGCCAAAACCAAGAGTCAGACGCTTAACCGACTGAGCCACACAGGGGCCCTTCAAAATTTTTTATATGTTCCAATCTTTTATTCATTCCTCTGTCAGCTTGATTTTTGTGTCTTATTTGAGTAGTATTTGATCACTTTCTGCCTTCTGGTATAGCAAGATATCTCGAAATCACTTTGTATGTTTCTTGTCCAAAGTTTAACCATTCAAGAAGCTGTGGTTTCTTTTTGTAGAAAATGGTACTGGGAACACAGTCTGGGCACCGGGAGTATTAATTGCTTGTATTTCTAAATTTTGGAGTGTCCAAACCTGGAATATACGTTTTTAAAGGAAGATAAATCATTATTTTATACACATAATTTCAGTTTGGATTGTAAGTTTTTTACAGAACATTTTTAGTTATAATTGTAGGGTTTTTTTCTCTTATGCTCAAAATCTTGGTTCCTAATGATGTTAAGACAATGGCTTTGTGGCTTTATTCTACATTATACATCTATGTGTACATGCACATATACTAGTTTCAAAATTGCAACTCCAATATGTCCACTAACAATATTATTAGTGAGTGTAGTTTAAGATTGTTTTGCAATTTTCTTTTTTTGAGATTGAGAAAGGAGGGGAGGGTCAAAGAGAGAGAGAGAGAGAGAGAGAGAGAGAGAGAGAAAGAGAATCCCAAGCAGGCTCCACACTGCCAGAACAGAGCCCAATGCAGGGCTTGAACTCATGAACCATGAGATCATGACCTGAGCTGAAACCAAGAGTCAGATGCTTAACTGACTGAGCCACCCAGGCACCCCAATTGTTTTGCAATTCTTTCTATTCTTAGGGCATAGCTCACCTGGGATAAATAGTCCCTGGGTTTGTTTTAAAGTCACTTCAAATAATTCATGTGGATATGTCACCAACCTGATATACGGATATATTCATTTGTTTTATTTCTTATCTTGAAAGATTTCATCTTCTTTTTAATTTAGTTTTATTTTATAATTAGGTAGAATAATTACATTGTTCAATGTCAAAACTTAAATCACAGGTTTTCCCTTTCTATCCACCTCTCCCTTCTTTTAGAAATTATGATGCTATGTATCCTTTATATTTCCTTTTCTGAACCATGCTTTTTTATTGAATAATGCATCCTGGGGAAGACTCCATTGCAGTAGCTAGTTTATTCAACTGGTCCTCTTTTCGTGGGTATTTGGGCTTTTCCCAATAATTTTCTATTATAAATAGTTCTCCCATAGATGACCTTTATAGCTATTGAGAGATAAAGTATAATGTATATTGTATATAAGTGATATATACATAAATATATTTGTATATAAGTGACATATGTATGTATGTATATACACATATATCACTTATATACATATGTGTATATAGATGTATATATCATTAATATAGATACATGTGTATATATGTAAATATCACTTACATATATTTATACATGTACATATCACTTATATATGTGATATATACATATGATTTTGTTATAATATATGATTTTAGTTCTACAGTAATTTATTAAGCACTTACAATGTGCTAGAATATAAAGATGAATAAGATGTGGTCCCTACTCATGAGGTCGTACAGTCCAATATGATGTAGAATTAAAAAAAAAAAAACTTTACATTTTTCCTTCTCAGATAATTTGATTTTTACGCTTCTAATCAGTGAATGCTTCAGCTGGTATTGTTTTTATATTAATTCCTAGATTTATGGATATATACAGATATCAATAATTTATAATATTTTGTACTATATTTCATGACAGTGCTAATATAGAACTTCTTTTAGTTTATGAACCATATTATATCATTATCACCAAAGAAGTTAGTTTTGTCTAACTGATTTATGTTTTCCTAGAGCCAGAATTCACAATGACAACAGTAACCGTAACCACAGAGGTTCCCCCAAGGGGTAAAATAGAAGATAATTCTGCCTTGTATGAGTCCACATCAGCTCAGATTATTGAAGAGACTGAATATGTGAAAAAGGTATGCAGGTGCTGGAAATCATATCAGCATATGATTTTTTTAAATGAAACCTAATTTGGATTGGTGGGCTTTGTTTCTCCCTCCATAGAACAGGTGAGGACACATTTGGCAAAGGACAATCTTGATAGTTGAAATTTCAACACGTTTGGTAAACTTCTCTTGAGGATATGAACCTCTGCTCCCACATGTGGAGTAAAATTGAATAATGGGCCAAAAGGGTTCAGAATAGCTGTCAGCACTTAATTTGCCCCACACTATGCACCTCTGCATTTCCTACTGTTTTATATCATTTCTCAAATGTTTCATGAGTGCTGATACTATGTTCCCAAGTAGATGTTTATGTGTCTTGCTGAGCCTCTGTCTCTCCCGACCTGGTTCCTTTTCACAGCTCAGGGTTGTTGTCCCCAATGACTACATGTTGGCATGTTACTTCATTAAAAATGTGACATCTTATGAGAATCCAATGATAATGACTGACAAAACTATATATTTTTTATGAACTGTTTCTTAGAACAGATGGAAAAATTTGGAAAGAGACAGTTTGTAACTTATTCAGATCAATTAATTCATCTTTGAGTGTCTTGCAATTCCATAGGTCAATAAGACATGGAACTTATATTTCATGCATAAATTTGTATGATCTTCTCTTAGTAATTATTCTGTAATAATTACTAAATAGTAATTATTCTCTAGTAATTACTAGCTAGTAATTACTACAAAATAATTACTAAGCTGTAATTATTTTGTAGTGATTACTAAATAGTAATTGTTTTATAGTAATTACTAAACAGTAAATTAGTACTAAATTACTACATAGGAAAAATAGAACTAAATAGTATTAAATACTAATTACTATATAGTAATTATTTTATAGTATAATATTCAATTAGGCTATATTTTAGGTTTGACTGAGAAAGAATTATAAAGACCAAATGCTAATTTTCTGCAATCTAAACAATATTAGCCTAAATGCAAGTCAGGTTGGTGGTAGTTATTTTTGTCTTACTTTCTAGATAAATCAGGTATACTGTAGCTGGTATAAAGAAAAAAGTGTTTGGCATTAAATGCCTTTGAAAAAAAAATAGAATATTTTTTTTTCTCCTAGATCCGAACTACTTTGGAAAAGATCCGAAATCAAATTTTTAAAGACGAAGTAGGACGTAACAGCACAAATCACAGACTAGAAACAAAGGTAATGAATTTACTCACATGTACCACTTTATTCCTTCCGTAAATAAACATAAAACAGTATAAACTTAATTTAAATAACTTTTTAAGATAATTATTAAATTATTCTTTCAAGCTTTGAATGTTGAGCATTAAATATTTTGTCGGTATCTGAAGATGTTAATAGGCATTTGTATGAAATATTTAACCACAGATGTTATTAGTAGCCTCAGATTGCAATGATTGGACCTTTCTTGAATATTCTAAATGGGGCTTACTTGTCTAAAGTATATGAGGAGATGTCAGCCCAGTCAGGATATATGGCAGCAACATTTCCAAAAACACTGATAGAGGTACAAGCTTTTAGGTTCACCTCAGTCACATCAGTGGACACAGAGTTGAAGCTATTAGGCCATTTGGTCGAGTGATTAGACAATTGATAAGCTTAAATGCACCCTCTCTCTTGTGGCTGGCTTTATATGCCTAACATTAAGCAATCTATATTAGCCTTGTTTGGGTTATGCCAGGTTAGAGCTCATCTGAGCCAAGTGCACCTTGTCAATGTCAGTGTTGCTCACTATGTAGTATGGCCACAGAGAAAGCAGAACATAGGATATGAGGCATAAACATAGTTCCCTTCATCATTCTGCACCTCCCAAAGTAATACAACCAGCCCCAAATGTTTTCTTAAAGTAAGTCCTCAGAACTGGAAAAAAAGGTTAATGTTTGTGAATGATGGGACAGATAAAAAATTCCATTTTGGTTATATTGAGTTGTTTATTAGACCTCTAAGCAGAGGTTTCTATTGGGTGCTGAGTATCTGATTCTGGGTTTCAAGGTAGAGGTCTGGGCTAGAAGGTCTAGGCCATAGGGCAGAGACTTTGGGAATAAGGATGGCATTTAAAGTTCTGACATTGGAGGAGATCACCAAGTATGTGAGTGTAGATAGGAATAACAGAAAATTTGACCACTGAGTTCCAAGATACCCAACACTTAAGAAGGAGAAGAAGAAGGAGAAGCATCACATCAGGCTGGGAAAAGAAGCTAATGAATTAGAAGAAAAAACGGGAGAGGGTGGAGGCACTGAAGACAAGTGAAAAAAAGGTTTCAGAAAGTGGGGAGGGGCCACTATGTCAAATGGTGCCTATGAGCTAAGTAAATTTAGGCCTGAACCTTGACCATTGGATATAACAATGGGGAGGTTGTTGGTGACCTTGATAGGAGTAGTTTCTTAAGAATGGACATGGGGGCGCCTGGGTGGCGCAGTCGGTTAAGCGTCCGACTTCAGCCAGGTCACGATCTCACGGTCTGTGAGTTCGAGCCCCGCGTCGGGCTCTGGGCTGATGGCTCAGAGCCTGGAGCCTGTTTCCGATTCTGTGTCTCCCTCTCTCTCTGCCCCTCCCCCATTCATGCTCTGTCTCTGTCCCAAAAATAAATAAACGTTGAAAAAAAAAATTTAAAAAGAATGGACATGAATTGTGTTGCCAATGTGTCTGCCCTGGTCATCTCAAATCTCAGATGGCCAGCAGACAAGTACCAGCATCTAAGTAGCTGCTGCTCTGCCGCCCCCCCACCCCCCGCCCCTTGCAATATCTGAACAGTGTCCCTGTAGGAATTTAGCCATAATGATCTAGGGCTGTGTTGCTCTCAAGGTGGGGGCTGTAGTCCCAGCAGCAGCAGCAGTAACAGGAAGCTCCTTAGAAATTTTTTTAAATGTTTATTTAGTTTATGGGGCGCCTGGGTGGCGCAGTCGGTTAAGCGTCCGACTTCAGCCAGGTCACGATCTCGCAGTCCATGAGTTCGAGCCCCGCGTCAGGCTCTGGGCTGATGGCTCGGAGCCTGGAGCCTGTTTCCGATTCTGTGTCTTCCTCTCTCTCTGCCCCTCCCCCGTTCATGCTCTGTCTCTCTCTGTCCCAAAAATAAATAAACGTTGAAAAAAAAATGTTTATTTAGTTTTGAGAGAGAGAAAAAGGGGGGGAGGAGGCAGAAAGAGAGGGAGACACAGAATCTGAAGCAGGCTCCAGACTCTGAGCTATCAGCACAGAGCCTGACGCGGGGCTCGAACTCACGAACCATGAGATCATGACCTGAGCTTGGAACCTTAAGGGATTGAGCCACTCAGGTGCCCCTGGTGAGCTCCTTAGAAAGGCAGTATCTGGAGCTCCACCCCAGATCTCTTGAATTAGAATCTGCATTTTAACCAGATCTCTCACCAGGTGATTCATATGCACATTAAAGTTTCAGATGCACTGATCCATGACCTTTGTAGGAATCTACTGCTGCCCACAATCTACCTTCTACCAGAGTCTTCCCAGCAAGTATTTTTTAACAAAGTAAAAACCAAAATAACTCCTACTCTATATAGAGAGAGTAAGAGTATAGAGTAGGGTCTGGAATAGAAAAAAAACCATGACAGAATTATGGGGACCATATTTCCGTTTTGTATCTTCGTGTGTGTGTGTTTTAAAACACTATATTCTTTTTGTTGTTGTTGTTTATTTATTTATTTAGAGAGAGACAGAGATAGCATGAGTGGTGGGGTCAGGGGGAACAGAAAGAGAGGGAGACTGAGAATCCCAAGCAGGCTCCTCACTGTCAGCAGAGAGCCTGATGTGGGGCTTGAACTCATGAAACCATGGGATCATGACCTGAGCAGAACCCAAGAGTCACCCGACTGAGTCACTCAACCGACTGAGCCACCCAGGTACCCACCCCCTTCTTTTTTGTTTTTTTATTTCTGTTAATGTAGCCCATATTTTGTATTGGAAAGAATATTGGCTTTGTTAAACAAGCTTGGATTCTCATTCTGGCTCCGGTATTTATTTTAGGTATAACCTTGGACCTCTTAGTGAAACTCTCATCTGGACATAGTGGACGTAGTGCCTTGTAGCGTTTTAAGCATTCAGACAAAGGGGTATTTACAAAACATCTAAAAGATTACCTGGCACATGATAGATGCTTACTAAAATAGAAGTTATTATTCTTTAATTATATAATTGTAGGCTATGGAGAATTGTATAATTCCTTAGTGCATCTTGAAATAATTTGGAACAGCAGAAAGCATAGGATAGATACTCAAGAAGCTGTATCATGGGCTCTCCCACTTACTTACTATGTAAACTTAGGCTCAGTACCTCATTTTTCATATCTGCAACATTGATGTAATTGAGTTAGATGGTTTCATATTCCCTTTCCACTTCCACATGTCTTGATTCCAAATGAGATTTATTTTATGTTCTAAGTGTATTTTCAGTAGGCTAGAGTTTACTTGGAGTCACACAGGCAGTAACATTCAGTTCCGACATCTCTGGAAATGTACTATGTGGTGATTGCAGTAGGCATCATTGAACATTGAATATTATGTATTGTAACTCTTAAGTCTGATTGTGTTAGTTTGTAATACAATATAAGCAAAATGCATTTATGTCTACGACTTAGATTAAAAAAGAAAAAAAAGACAACTGGCCTTGTAGATACCATTTAGCTCTTAAAAAATGACTTAATGGTATATTTAAAACAGTAGGAATGGGGTGCCTGGGTGTCTCAGTCAGTTGTCTGGCTCTTGATCTCACGGTTTGTGAGTTCAAGCCCCACATCAGGCTCTGCACTGACAGTGCAGGCTTGGGATTCTGCCCCTCCTTGCCTCTATCTGTCTGTCTGTCCGTCTCTCTCAAAATAAATAAATAAACTTTCAAAAATGAATTTAAAACTGTAGGAACTACAAAAGGTATAAAAGATGTACGTCTACCTCCTTTTAATCTAAGAATCTAATCAAATTTGAGCAAATATAGAGGCCAGCCACTTCAATTAGAATTCTTCATTGGTATTCGAAAGTCAAAGGATTTATTTTGTGCCAACCTGGATCTTTTTTTGGCGTATGGAATAGTGAGCGACAATTGTTGCTGTCAAAGTTTGTAGAGGAAAGAAATAGTGAGGTTTCTGATTTTCATGTTTATTCATTTCAGCGCTGCCCAAACATTCACAGCGGCTCTGGTTCTGAAATGGATCCCTCGTATTGCAGTTTGCATCTGCTCGTGGAAAGGATGAAAGGAAAAGACCTGAAGCTCTTAGAAATGAACAAAGAGAATGAAGTCTTGAAAATCAAGGTATGGTTGCTGGGAGAAATTTCTAAATTTTTGTAGTGTTAGGCCTTTGAGACAGTAGGTTTCATGGATGTGTGAGAGCAGACAGACATCCTTATGTATCCGTAGATCCAGAAGTATGCTCAGCTAATGTAGAGAAACACTTTTCCATTTCATAAATCCCACGGGTTTATTTTGGAGACTGTTTTTACTATTGAAAATCAGATCTCACAAAAATCCAACGGGTATCAATTCCAGCCGTGCAAGATGAGTCCATTCTAGAGACCTGCTGTACAATACTGTACTTGTAGTTAATATGGTGTCGTACCCTTAAATAGGTCTCATGTGAAGTGTTCATACGAAATAAATTTTTAAAGGCTTTCATGTTTAATAAATATTAATTAGAGCACTCAGAGTCAAAGGTCTCTCTATTTTACTTGATTAATCCATTGTTGAATGCTTTATTTATTTATTTATTTATTTGCTTGTTTGTTTGTTTTGGTTTATTATGTATGCAGCCCTTGCAATGACGGTAAATCTTTGTGGCCATCCCTGCTTATTTCTTTAAGTTAAATCCTTGAGAGATGCATGACACTTTAGCTTTATTACCCTTCATACTTCCTTCTTGTCCCACTGCTATTTTAGGAAAATGCATATTTTAGTACTGTTGTGGGCATCGATGATAAAACGCCTGTAAATAAGTGTATAAGCTGATAAGGCACCGTGGAACTCTTGGAAGGGTGCAGTCTCTAACTGCGGGACATGGGCTGTGGAGCTTTGCTTTGGCCTGGCCAGTGCAAATCCTTCTGCATGACAGTTTCCCTAAATAGGCTGCTTCTCATTTTACATTTTCCTCTTACCAGATAATAGCGTCTTTACTCCTATCCATTGTCTAGGAGGGTGCAAATGGTAAAGTTACAACCTTTTTTTTAAAGTTTATTTAGAGAGAGAGAGAGAGAGAGCATGTGTGAGCACGGGAGGGGCAGAGAGAGAGGAGAGAGAGAATCCAAGCAGGCTTCATGCTCAGTGTGGAGCCCAACTCAGGGCTCGATCTCATGACCCTGAGATCATGACCTGAACCGAAACCAAAAGTCGGATGCTTAGCCGACTGAGTCACCCAGGCGCCCCCAGCCTTTCTGTTTTTAATTGCCTGCCAAACTGTTCTGCCTTTAACCCTTTTTATTGTAAATGTCAAAACATACACCGTGACCTCTTTTCCTAGCTGGAAGCTTCCAGAGAAGCAGGAGCGGCGGCTCTGAGAAACGTGGCACAGAGGTTATTTGAAATCTACCACACACAGTCGGAAGAAGTTAGAAAGAAACATGAGGATGATAAACACTTCCTCAAGGTACTGAGTTAGCAGCTGGTTCACTGGAGAATTAACACCCCAGTGTGTGTGTGTGTGTGTGTGTGTGTGTGTGTGTGTGTTCATGCCTCTCTTTTTGGGGGGTTAGACATGAAGTAAGCAATGGCCTCATGACTTTGGCAAGCCTTGGGCAGGATGCCCATCTTCTGTGCTGGTCTCCCCGCACCCCTGCTTAGCCTGGTACCTACATGTTGTTGAGCTGTTATGTTGCCACCCTTGCCCAGAGCCTTCTGGAACACAGGTGGGAGGAGGCTGTGCCACCCTGCCTGGAAATCAGGGCTGTGCCAGGTGACACTGGCCAGTGACTCCTCTCGTGGTTCTGCTTTTGACTAACTAGATGACCTAGAAAGAGTCATTCTCCCTCTCTGCAGTTGGGTTTCCTTGTCTCCACAATGAACGAGTTGGGCTAGATCAATGGTTTCAAAATGGTTTTGACCCTAGAATACATTCTTCAAATTAAAAAAACAAACAAAAAATGTATGTATGTGTACATTTATATTTTAAAATACATATTTCATATTTTTTAAAGAATTTTAATGTTTATTTTGACAGAGAGAGAGAGCACATGTGAGTGGGGAGGGACAGAGAGAGGATCTCAAGCAGGTTCCACACTGTCAGCATAGATCCCGATGTGGGGCTTGAACTAACAAAACATGAGATCATGACCTCAACCGAAGTTGGACGCTTAACCAACTGAGCCACCCAGGCACCACTACATATTTCATATTTTAATATAGAGCTTATATAAATTAAAATATTTTAAAAGCATACATATGTATATGTGTATATATGTGTGTATATATATCATAGACCCCCCCCACACACACATGCATACTTTTATATTTGTTTGTTTTTAAATCTGAAGTATATATTCTAGGACCAATGAACCTTTATGTGAAGAATGTATTCTAGGGCTGGAAAAGGAACAAACAGTGACTGTGTGTGTGTGTGTGTGTGTGTGTGTGTGTGCATGTCTGTAGGAGTCAACTGAGACACTGGCAAGTGAGCCAGATGAAACCTTCACATCTATGATCTCTAACATAACCCCTGCTGTCAGCCTGGGGAATAACCCCCAACACAGTGGGGAATCACTGTTCTGCTTTTATGACACTTTCTGATTAAAAATAAAACATTTTTTACTTGAACATACATGATTTTTTTAAGTTTACTTATTTATTTTGAGAGAGAGCACGGGCAGGAGACAGGCAGAGAGGGGGAAGAGAGAGAGAATTCCAAGCAGGCTCTGCATTGCCCGACACAGAGCCCGACACAGGGCTCGAACCCACGAACTGGGAGATCATGACCTTAGCCAAAAAACCAAGAGTTGGACGCTCAACTGACTGAGCCACCCAGATGCCCCTGTAAGATTTATTTTTGTTGTAGATAAGTTTCATTGAGGAAAAGTCAAAAATTTCACTTTTCTTACATTAGTATCTCTCTTTCTTGTACCAGTTCTGGTAGCATGCTTTATGGTAACAAATGTAAACATTCTAGTATATTATTAAGTCTACATTGGTTTAGTGTTGTTGTAGCCCATCAGGTTTATTTGGAAGGAAAACACTAAATTCAAAACAGTAATTGGAATCACGTGTGAATTATTAAATTTTGGGGGCTACTCAAAATTATACAGGGAGATAATATCTGTGTAAATTTAATAAAAACAATCATTTGACAGTTGTTTTTCTGACCAAAGGTTAACAAACTTGAAAAGGAACAACAACTGAAACAACATGTTGGAAATCTGAATCAAGTTGCTGAAAAGCTTGAAGAAAAACATAATCAAATCACAGAGTTGGAGAACCTTGTACAGAGGATGGAAAAGGTAAGCCCATGGAGAATTAAAGGGATTCTTCCTGACAGGGCTGGGGAGAGAATGTAAGAAAATAACACCAAAATAAGTAAAGTAAGACATTAGGTGAAAGTATGCTTTGCCACTACTGAGATTTTAGAAAGTACCCAATAATGTTGGTTTTTCCCCTTACACACTTAATATGGTCTGTACTGTCATGGATTGACCTCTACAGATACTGCTCATATCACTGTTAATTTCTCTTTTGAGTGTATGTATGGCTTAGACAGGGGAAGCAGGCAAGGCTGTGAATGGAAGCAATGGAAATGATCGTAAAGTCCGCCTATGCCTAGTAATAATACAGTGGATTGCTATAGTCTAATTCTATGTATTAGACTCAGTGAAGTATCCATTTTTTGGCCATCTGAGTTCACTTTAGGATTGTAAAATTCTATGGCTGTATTAGGACAGATAGAATTCACATTAAGAAAAGACATTCTGGGGTTCCTGACTGGCTCAGCCAGTTAAGCATCTGACTTCCACTAAGGTTGTGATCTCGAGGGTTCGGTTCGTGAGTTCTAGCTCCACATCTTGGTCTCTGCTGTTAAGGCAGAGCCCACTTCAGATCCTCTGTCTCCCTCTCTGCTGTCTCTCTCCCATGCTCCCTCTCTCTCAAAAGAAAAGAAAAGACATTCTGCAGAGATTGGAACTTCCTAAAGACAACTTAGGGAAGAGTAGTGACAGAACAAAAATTATTAAAAATTTTATGTAGTATGCCTGTGAGTGGCTGGCACTCTAAATATATACAAAAGGTGAGCACATAAACTTAATTATGCATTCCTTAGAATTTAGAACACAAAGCAAGGAATACTGGGTTTTTAGTAGCAAAACAAACCAATAGAAAATTGTGCTCTCTGAAACTGAATTTGGGGTAGATAAGAATATAGGTTTTGGGGGCACGTGGATGGCTCAGTTGGTAGGGCATGCAACTCTTGATCTCGAGGTTGTAAGTTCGAGCCCCACACTGGGTGTAGAGATTACTTAAAAATAAAATCTCGGGGCGCCTGGGTGGCGCAGTCGGTTAAGCGTCCGACTTCAGCCAGGTCAGGATCTCGCGGTCCGTGAGTTCGAGCCCCGCGTCGGGCTCTGGGCTGATGGCTCAGAGCCTGGAGCCTGTTTCCGATTCTGTGTCTCCCTCTCTCTCTGCCCCTCGCCCGTTCATGCTCTGTCTCTCTCTCTCCAAAAAAAAAAAAAACGTTAAAAAAAAAATTAAAAAAAAAAAAAAAAAAAAAAAAAAAAAATCCAAAAAAAAAAAAAAAAAGAATATAGACTCTGACTTCTGGTAAATATTGCCCAATGAAGTTTTATATTTATTATAATGATTCCCTGGTTTGCCTCTTCTCTTCTCAGCCTTGTTCTGTTTTATGTCTGCTTGAGTTGATGTCACTTTTGAAATGTCACTTCAAAAGAATCACATTTCAATATTCAGGTGTCTGGCCAAAGGAAATTTGATTAATTTTTCTACGTATTTCCCAAGAATTTAATTTATAACACTGAGTTTGGTTGAACTTGTGAGTTCCTGTGAGGCAATCACAAAAAATTGAATAAATCCAAATTTAACTGAATCTGGTAATACTAATACGTAGCTCATCTGTGTTGTGGGGTGGGTTACGGAATGTTTTACTGTAGCCAGATACATTGGGCTAGAATGTCCTCAAGCAGCTGGTTTGCAGGCAGTGTGACAGTTTATAGTTATGATATTTTGAACAAACTAACATTTGGATGAATACTTTATAGCATTAGAATATTTATCCTGTAATAAATAGCTCAGCAAACTAATCACAAAGAATGTTTGCACTTAGGAAAGGAAGACAATTCTGGAATGCAAATAGAGCTGATTAACCAGCTTTCATTTAAATTTGGACTTGTGATCACCTCATACCCAGTAACACTGGGTCCGGTGTAGTGGCCAGCTGTCAGTCTCAGAAAATTAACAAAAGAACAGCAGAATGTAATTCCAGAAAACCCCGTGGAATCTGTACTGGATGTGAGTTCATCTCAGAATTCTGGGTTATATTCACTTGACTGTTTCTTCAGCAAACGTATGAAGACTTAACATGTAACAGTCAGAGCTTGAGGCTGGATATCTATTTGTGAATGAACCAGACATAGTCTCTTTGTAGAGATTGCAGTGTAGTACATTTGCATTGTGTGGGACTCAAGGAACTTCCCACATCTCTCTTCATTCATTCTCCTAGGGGTCCCCAGGGAGGCAGACACCCCTATTGAAGGTAGGGGAATGTACTCCAGAATAAAGTTGATTAGCTTAGATACTGGCAGGCATTTTTGAGAAGTGATAGTCTAGCATTTGTCTTGATATCGAACCATAATGGTGGTCTGTCTCTAGGTGCTCTGTGACAGAGTAAGTGGACAGGATGCCCATGGTTCATGGTCATGCAGTAGCCTTCTAGAATATTCTAGTTCAGTGATTTCCTAGAGTGGAGCCTATTGGAATCTCAGAGAGGTAGAGATAGTTGGGAATGGAGCAGAAGGGCAATGTGCAGGAGTTTTTAAAAAATATTTTTAGTTTCAAGGCACGTTATATTTGTAAAACAAACAAGCGAATAAATAAAACTATAAGAAACAAAGCTTGGCACCATATTCTTGATTTAAGGTTACTGAGAAAACAGACTGTGATGAAGGGTTCCTCGGGGGGGCGTGTATCAGAATGAGAGGAGACGGAACTCTAGACTTTTGTGTCAATAGGGAAAAGACATGAGTTCGAAAAGAAAAAGGAAATGAAAATTAAAAATGAACACCCCCAACAAAGGTTGATAAATATTGCCCTGGTAGTGGGTGGCCCCTGGAGAAGGATTCATTTTCTACTCACTTGAACAAGCCACTGCTCCAGTAAGTAGCCATTAGTGGTATGAGGGCTGGTAATGAACACATTACTTAAAACCTTCACCATCTGCCCCACTTTAATCAGGAATGCAGTGAGAATGAATTCCATAAACATAGTGATAAGCCAGCAAAAACGCCCAATAAGAACATTTTAATATGACATATGTTCCTTTTGCTAGCAGTGCAATTCTGTTGCATCATATTTGTTTTCCAGTGTCATTGATTTAGCTCTATTAGAATTTTAGAGCTCAAAGGTGCTTTTGAGACCACCTAGTTCCTCATCACCATTTTATAAACGAGGACAGTGGGAGCAAGGAACGATTTCCACCGTCCTCCAGTTACCAGTTCAAAATGCTTTCCATTATGCCCCCGTCTTCTCTGGCGTCAGATAAAAATGATATACGCGGTTCCTAAATCATTTAGATGTTAACATATGGCAATTATTTAAATTGGTGTCTACTCCACTTTGATCAATAGGACGAGGGAACTCTTGAGCTCCCAAGAGGTACCGTTTTTTTGAGAAGAGTGGATTGTCCACTGGGTGGCGCTGTGAACTCCTTTCCTTTTCCAGAGGACACTCTTGAGAAAAAGTGCTAGCCAGTATGGTATGATTTTGTGTTGTTAGAGAGGAAGCATTAAGAGCCCAAACTACATGCTGCAGCATTGGCCACTGCAGAACATTTAGTTGTCCAGTTGTCTTGTCTGCTTGAACTCTGGTTATGAAGATCCATTGAGAGTTAAGTCCTTTAGGATGTTTGTTAAACACCATTTTCCTCCCTACAAAATCAAAATATATTATCAGTGATGTGTTTCTTTAATGATCCAAGTATCCCAATAAGATTGTGAGGCATATTTGTGATCCCTCAAAAATAATTTGAACACAACTAGGTGACACAAGGGAAATTTCCATATGTGGCAGGAATGCTACAGGAAAAATCCAAAAAAGTTAATGCAAATTTTAAAAATAATAGCACATAAGATATTAAGTGTTTGGCACCTTCAAATTATAAACTGAGGTCATAATATATGTCCGAGGAGCATGTGGACCTTTCACATATAAATCTCCAATTATCTCAACATTTCAATATAGGTAGTATTATCCCAATTTCAGGGAAGTTCAAAGAGTCATGACTGAAAAAAAAAGAAACATGACTCAAACAAATATAAAATGAATATATGTCAGATGTTTTACTCAACATATTCATTAATAAGGAACCAATAAGATGGTAAATCTGTTTTAAAGGATTTTGAGAAACTGGCTATTAAAAGGCATTTTGAAAAAAGGAATATAGAATCGGATTACTAGGTTAGACACAAGGCTGGTTAATATGCTTTGAGGCAATTAAACCATAACCTGTGGGCTTATCTTTTCTACCAGGCAGAAATCTACAAATGAACACGTGACTTCACAGAGTTGGGGCTCTAACTGAATCATAAACGATGAAGTCATAAATGCAGGGAAATTCTCCATGAGAATTGGGTCAGGTTATTAAACAATGGCCCAGTGTGACATTAAAATCATATATTGTTTTGATTTCCAAGTTTTGGCTAATTTTTCCTAACAGAGATCAGGTCCAGAAAGGTTAAAGCCTTGGCAAAAATTACATAGTCACAGTGTAACTAGGTCAGTCTGTGTCCAACAAGATACTTGCATTTTTGCTCTACAACATTGCCTTGTATTTTACCCGTGTAAATATCGCAGCCGGAATGGTTTTAAACAGCATTGTAAAGTGTCAACCAATCTCTTACTGTTCAATATAAAAAAGAACACAACCATCCCAGTTTGATTTCTCATGGACTTGTTATATTCCTTTTGAGTGGAAAGAGTTTGGTTTAATAATAGCATTAAGGTATTTCTTTACATTTTTCTTTCTCAATGTCAACATTTCTCTTATATTCTAACTAGAAAGTGACTTTATCACTTGTGGCCTTGATCCTTCACTATAAATTCATTTGCTACTTTTCTACCTTCTGACAGATGCCCTGTGAGCAGGTAGGGCTATGAAGATAAGGTCAGTAGTGTCCTTGGATACCAACCACTCAGTCTCACGTAGGAGAAGCAGGTGGAACAGAGGGAGAGCCAATGCCAAGAGAGAGACAAGCTGACAGTTTGCACTCGGGATGGGCTGGAGGGGGGCAGGAGTTTGACTGAGCTGGGTACACTTCGATTATGGACTGGAAGAGAAGCAAAAAGTCTCCAGGCAAGTGAGGAGCGTAAAGACAACCTGTCTTGACCTGTCTTGACTTGGAAACCACACAGGAAAATGTCTGGCCAGGTCTCCTTGGGGTGGGTTGTAACAGTTGAAATTGACTCTGTAGCTCAAAACATATTTCTAATGGTATAAGAAGCATCTTTTGTGAACAGTTTGCAAGAATGACTTAGCAAACACACACACACACACACACACACACACACACACACACACACACAGAAATAAAATTGTATCTTATTTTCTCCTAGGAAAAGAGAACACTGCTAGAAAAAAAACTGTCTTTGGAAAACAAGCTGCTGCAACTCCAATCCAACGCTACATATGCTAAAAGGTTTGCAGATCTGCCTCCTATTAAAGCAGTTCCTGATCCCTTTCCCCTCTGCTGGTCCACTGGCCAGTGTACAGAAGGCTCCCACCTTCTAAGGAGACAGGAAGACTGAAAGTGCAGGATGAAGGGACATTGCTTAATATTAGCAGCCACGTGCCCCCCCCCTCCCCCTGGGGAATCAGCAGCAGGGTTCCCTGAAGGTCCAGGGAGACTGGTGCAGGGTTAATCCTTCTGAAGAATGAAAGAGCCTGTTCCCTCCCTGTTTACCCTGGGTGCTAAAGAGGCTGCTGTTGAGGCTTTCATGCCCCCTGATGCTTCTGATTTTGTCAGTGGGTCTCTGCTATAGCCAGCATCAAGTAGGCTAGCCTACAAGCGGCATTGTAAGACTCTTTTGTGGTGCTCCCCAGCTTTGTAGAGAATGAAGGAACTACTCTGAAGGTATTCTCAGTTCTTTGGACTGACTTACAAATACTCATAATTCACCAGCTGTTACAGGGTATAGCCCTTAGTATGGGGGTGACATGGAGCATGGATATCACCCAGCTGCTGCATTATTTCACTGCTGTTAAAAAAAATCCTCTGGAACATCATGTATGTGATAACTGATTACCTATAAAATTTCCTCACACTTTTTCCCTTCCCTTCCCTTCCCTTCCCTCCCCTCCCCTTTTAATTCTAAACCTGCCACTGTCGTTATATGTTCTAATATAAGGTTCAAAGTCAAGTCTATTTCAAGGTCTTATTTCACCCATCTGGAACTGTTGCTTCTTAGGATATCAGGCATTTTTATGAACCTCAGACTGTACAAAGTTTTATTCTCATTTATTCAATAATATATACTCAAAGATCTCTCTCTTTCTCTCGGTCTTTGGTTTGTTTGTTTGTTTGTTTTTTCTCTTTCTCTTTCCTTTCCAATTAACTGTCTTTCTCTTCTCATCTTTCATAAACTTCTGCCTTCTGTCTGGCTCATATCCATGTATTGGACCACATATGCCGAAGTCCAGATCTGGGCTCACCCTGGCAATTGCACATACGTATTCAGAACATGCTGGAATACCGCTAATATTAATTTACACATATTCTCTGTGTACAGGCATAGAGCCCCAGCAGGGGACTTTCTAAGAGAGTAAAGTACAGCACTGCGCATCTTGTAGAGAATGAAGGAAATACTGTGGAAGACATCCATAGGTCTTCAGAATTACGTATACTCATAATTCTAAGTGAATCTGTGGAGTATCTTTTTTTTTTCTGCGAGAGTTTTTCCGTGTAGCAGGACTGCTGGCTGGTACTGTGTGCTTTCCATTAAGAGTTCAGACAACCTGAGTTTGATATTTTTTCTTTAAAGATGATTTTTATTGACAATAGGGTTTTTGTCAGCCTTTGAGCCCAAAGTGTAGCCATTTTGAAAACCAAACTGAGCTATTCTTTCTGTTCTATTATATATGAGCAGTTGTTATAAGGAATTCTCAGGAAGCTCTTAGGGAGGTTTTAGAAATATCTTGAGGGAAATGGATGTTTTGTGTTTCTAGAGAGGTGTTTGAACATCCAAGCTTATGCAATTTTCATAGAGTGTAGGCATCACAAATATTTATCTTCCTTTTTACTTTGTCTGTGTGTAGAGGTATTCACTCTGCTAAATGACAAGAAAGTGAAATCAGTAGGTGTCAGATGCTTTTGGTTAAAGCAATAGAGACTTGGTTAAGCTACCACAAATAAGAGGATTTCTGTTAGGTGAAGATTGGATAGATATGGCCATAAAGAAGATGCATCTCTTGGGAGGACAGGAGGACCACACATCAGCACCAACTCTGTTTTTAAAAACCAGATTATTTTGTTGCTCCTATTCAGTCATGGGTGTTCTACAGTTTCATTCTTCCTCGCTCTTTGTTTTTCCTGTATGATTTATTAACTTTTCTCAGTGGTTTTCTCCAGCTGGCTTATATTCTCTGTAGTTTCCTTTCACATTGCAGAGGAAAGAGTCTGCCGGCCTAATACTACTTCCTGCTGGGCAGATTGCTCATGTTAACCATCCCCTGTGTTGTCATCTAACCAATGGCTTTTTAAAAAAATTTTTTTTACATTTATCTATTTTTGAGAAACAGAGTGAGACAAAGCGTGAGCAGGGGAGGGGCAGAGAGAGGAGACACAGAATCCGAAGCAGGCTCCAGGCTCTGAGCAAGCGGTCAGTGTAGAGCCCGATGCAGGGCTTGAACCCACGAACTGTGAGATCATGACCTGAGCGGAAGTCGGAAGCTCAACCGACTGAGCCACCCAGGTGCCCCTAACCAATGGTCTTTTGGCAGGCACCAACTCCCAGGGCTACGGGTGGTCTTCCCTTACCCCCAAAATAGCCTGTGGTAGCTCCTCTGAGCAGGGGGGTATGGGTGATTAAATTTTCCTTAGGCAGGATGGGTTTGACGGGTGCCATGACTTTCTGCCATTTTGATGAAAAGATTCATTATGGTCTAACTTGGTATTTTTAATATTAAAAAGCATCTCAGGGTGCCTGGGTAGCTTAGTCTGTTTAGCGTCCCAATTTGGCTCGGGTTGTGATCTTGCAGTTTGTGGGTTCGAGCCCCGCGTCAAGCTATGTGCTGACAGCTCAGAACCTGGAGCCTTCTTCAGATTCTGTGTCTCCCTCTCTCTCTACCCCTCTCCCACTTAAGCTCTCTCTCTCTCTAAAATGAATAAATGTTAAAAAACTTTTTTTAATAAAAAAAAATTTTTTTAAAGCATCTCTAAAGAAGATGACTTTTAGGTATTTATAATTCAGGAGAAAGTGACAGTTTTTTTGTATATGGATATGAACATATAATTATAATACCTTATGCTAACCCTTACAGTTACTTTTAATGAGAGTTAAGAGATTTGGCAGAAGCATCTCATTAAAAACAAGGTTGAGTCCATATTTCTACTACCATCACTAATAAACCACCGCATGTATTATGTTTTGCTGTTGACAGATAGAATAACCCCAGGTACCTTATTTAATTTAATCCATTCTTAGCTTTTTAGGGAGAGAGCAGAGTTTCTAACTGGTGAAGCGATTACACAGCCTCTAGGGAGCTTGGGTTCTAGAATTCTTAGAGCAGTCTGTTCTCGTTTTGCTATAGAGGATATTTGACCTTCATTCATTTCTGGAGACCTCTGGAGACTTTCCCTTGGACTGCTTTCCTAATTCCCCTGTGTGTCTATGAGTAGAAGGCAGTTTTCCAACCTGTCCCTCTGCCTTGTGATATAACAGGTCCATTTTAGAGTTATCCTTTTGAGAAACACAGGAGCTGTACCTCAGAAAAATCCTCTACAAAAGAATAACATGATGTCAGAAAACAATTCAGTCAAAGCCATTGTAAGTTTGGAGTAGAGGGCAATGCAGTTGAATAATGTTGCCCTCTGATGGTGTAAGTTAACCCTAAGATAGGTTTTAAAGTATCCTGATGAATGGACACACTGGAGACAATTCTCCATTAATTCAATTTCCTTTGGCCAAGTGACTGGCAGACATTGGTCATCAAAGCGATTGAGGGTTTGCTTCTCGCCAAGTACTTATGCTATAATGGTCCCATATTACTAAAGGCTAAGCCATTCGTTTTTACATTTCTGCAAGTTAAAGATAGGATTGGTGCTCTGAATGCAGAGAGGATTCCCAATTCCCTTCCTCAAAAGGATAGGGCCAAGCTTTTCCTCTCTTGTAGATGGGGCATTTTTCGTCTGCTCCCATTGGCATTTCCAGGCTGCAGATTTTTGCAGCTCCGAGTCCGGGATATATGAGGCAAAAAGAAAACCCAGAGAACTCAACATTGTGTTGTTCCTTGGATTCTCAGGTCTTGAGCTGATCTGCCTTCTTCTCCACCTTCCAGAGTCGTCTTGTGTTTTTGGTTGTACTCAGTGGGAAGAGTAGGGAAAAATACACCTGCATCTTCCCAGTGTAAGTTTTTCAAAGGTATTTTAATTTCAGCATTTACTTTATATTTATATTGAGACACTGGGAGGCAGAGCGTGAATCAGATATTTGTTAGGGCTTGGTATCCTTTTCTAGGCCTGGCCTTTGTAATGTTTTCTTCCTGCTGTTTTGCGTTAGTACCTCTTTATTAAGGTTGAGTGCTTTCACTGAAAGATAAAGAGCGGAGATTAAAGGGAGCTCAAATGGCAGCTGATTTCAGTATATTCCCACACTTAAAGACCTTAAGTGGGTGACTAGGTTTCATATTTATTGGACAATCCTAAGAGAGAATTTCTCCGATTTATATTAGTCCCTGTTCTATGTATTAATACAGATAAGCCTGAAATGAAAGCCCTGTTTTTTCAAGAATGCTGCTAGAAATATTTTCTTCCACCTTGAGACCTCTTTCAGATTTTTATTTATCTACAGTGACTTCTATGGTAACGCCGTCGTGGAATAGGTGGAGAAATTTCCTGAGCTTCATATTTTGAGGAGCGTCAGGTCCACCCCGCCCCATCTTCTAAAACCATAGTTTTTTCCCCTTTGGTCTGAGTTCCGGGTCATCGAAAGACACAATGAGACCATTTTGAATACTGGTCTTCAATATTTTTACAAGTTTATATTTTATTTTTTAATTTTCTTATGGGTTTGTGAACAGTTTATAAATTTTCAAAGCCAGCCTGCCTCTGTAAGGAATCCTGAGTTCTTTCTCGCTATTTCCCAGGAAGTCCTGAGTGACTCCTCCTTCCTTCTTCTTCTCTCTGTTTTGCCTCTTCACCAGAGCAGTTTTGAGTCTTAGCACCAGCTGTTGGGCAGACTTTTGTCTGCCTTCTCTGCCCCATATGTCCTAAACTCCTCTTTTTTAGGAGTTTAGGCAGTGCCTCTTCAAGTCCCTTTCTAATTTTTCTACTGGGGTATCTGTCTTGTTTATGGGTAGATGTGGTCCTTATAGATCCTGAGTACAGTGCCTTTATTGGTCATTTCAGTTCAATATTCTGAGGCTATCCTCTACCCTCTCATTTGATGATTAGAAGATTTTCATTTTCGTCTAGGCAAAATTAACTTTGTGGCTAATACTGTCTTGAGTGCTATTTAAAAAAACCTTTGCCTATTGCAGATTCATGAAGGTGTTCTTCTATATTATATTCTAAAGGTCTTTGGGGTCTCCAGCTTATTTACAATCTACATGGAATTTATTTTTCTTATGAGGTGAGGTCGGGATTAATTTTCTTTTTTTATTTTTTAATATGAATGTAGAGTTGTCTCAGAACAACTGAGGTTGTCTCTCATTTGTTGAAAAGACCATCCTTTTTATAAAATTCTGCAGAATCATCTTTGATATAAGTCAACTCTATTGGCCTATCTCTGTAACATATATGTATATGTGAAATAAAAATGGCATGGATCTAGCATAATTTGTTTTATTAGTCTTCTATTGATGAACATTTAGCATTCCAATTTTTATGCTGTGAACAATAATGAACTACATTTTACATATCTTTTGTGTAATTGCATGGTATTTTTATAGCATATATTATTTAATTCCATAGGATAAGTAAAGAGTAATGACTAACATTATATGATATTGGTACTTCTGCAAGAACTTCTGTAGTTTTATAGAAATTAATTTTTTCTATAGTGAAACAAACTATTTTTAAAGCTCTCTCATGCAAAACCAAAACAGGGGAACAATTAAAAGACTGTCTTAAATATTACAAGTTGCCTGCAAGTTACTTGGCTTTGAGAGAGTATATTATACAGTAGGAGATATCGAGCCAACCTCAGTGGTTCATGGGCAGGCAGACTCCTTGGCAACAACCTGGAGCCTATTGGAAAAGCAGAATCCCAAGCCCGACCCCAGCCTGCTGGATCAGATGTGCATTTTAACAAGATTCCCTCATGATTTAACAAGATCCTCCAATGCATATTAAGTTTGAGAAGCAATGTTTTAGTACATGATGTGAAACAAAATGAAACTCTCTTTTTTTTTTTCAAATGAGAATATGTTCTGTAGTGTCACATGAATGTCCATGACCTTTGCAGTGTTTGTAGAGGCTATAAAAATCAGAATTGCAATTTCATTGGTGGTGGCTACTAACTATAAACCTTAATAGCTACAAAAATTAATATATTACTGTGTAAAAGCTTATTTTCCCAAAGCATATTCACTAACCTCTTTAAGTATATTCCTGTAAAGTAATGAAAGTAGGGATTATTCCGTCTGCTATGTGACTGTCACAATGCTTCCAAGCTTGGTGACCTGGCCACAATGCATGCTGCCTCAAAACTAAAATAATATTGGCAAGAAGAAAATATTGGCAAGTCAAAAGCTGTATAAGCAGTTACCTAAATGGAGTTTTGGAAAAGTATGAATAATCTAAATTCAAACATCATCCATCTTTTTTTCACAATGGTTGATGTAGACTCAAAATATTAGCTGGAATTTAATTTCCTTTTTTTATGCTCTATTTATAGGTGGTAGAATACCCAAAGTAGGAAGCCGAAATAATAATAGTAATAATGATGATGATAATAATAAAAGACAAACACAGTCAATCCACAACACACACCAACTGTGTATCATTAGAAATTGGTTTCTCATTGTATATAAAGTCTGCATTCCTGGCCCCCCATATTCTAGCCCTGCTATCCTTACATAATTATCTGTGCATCCCACTGAGTTCTAGATCTGTGGGTGCTCATAGGCACAACAGGTTAGGTATGTGAGCACTTCATCTGGCTCAATACAGGTTGACTCAACTACCTCCTGGAGGGAGGGAAGTCACAGATGGCCAGGAGGGAGTTGTTGACATGAATGGATATTCTCATTCAAGTTCGTGTCTGAGCTCATCAGAGACCGCTTTGTGGCTGTTTATCTTCAGTGTCTTGTGTGGCATATGGGGCCCCCAGCGTCTTTCTCCGCGATGCCCAGTTAACAGGGTCGTGTGTGAGGACAGCCTGGCAGCTTAGCTGTAAAAATGAGCTGCTCCGTGCTTCAGCAAATCTCTTTCTTTTTCCTTTTGCGTTTCCAGTTGCCACGATCTTCAAATGGAAATTGCCCTCCTGCAGGAGCAGACCTCTCATCTACAGTTTGTGATTCATTCCCAACATCAGAACCTGCGCCGCGTCATCCAGGAGGTCAGATTAATCAAGTGTGTTTCTCTGGTAGATGGGATGTTTACAGTGCGAAGGCCGAATACAGGCAGCTTGTCTGGACCTTACAAGCAGTGAGATTCTTCTCCCCGCTGACATTTCCTTTTTATTCCCAGGCAGCATGACTCTGTGTTCAATGCCTTCTTTTGTCTCTATGTCAACACCTGTAGCGTTCTCAATGAAGATATTTGGGAAATTGTGTTTAACTGCTCTTTAGTTGTTTCCATGATTTTTTAAAAGGGGTTCTGAGCCAGAGAATGTACACTGTTTTTTTAGACGATTTTGGAGGTTAGAAGCTTCAGCCCTTTCTGAGGACACGATGATCTGTTTTTATAACCTCATAAACAGCAAATTTACTTAGTAGGTGTGTGGGGACAGGGGTGTAGCCTGGCCGTTCTTCTCTGGAAACGTCCTGGCAGGTGAAAGAGAAGAGGTCATTGCGGTAGCAGCCAGATGGACGGTGGATTCTGTACGCATCCAGTTTATTTCAAGATATCTATTGATCTGGTTTGACGGCTCTGCTTTAGACTTAAAATTAGACCTTCCATCATTTTTTACTACCTAATATTTGTTTCCAAAAGGAATCCTTCCAAATACCTCTCATACCACCCCGACACAAATAAAACAGTTGGCTAGGACCTCACCAAAAGCGCAGAGAATTGAGTCATGGCACTTGAGAGCCCGGAGGGACTTAGAGGGTATCCCAGATTCTCATTTTCCAGATGAGAAAACTGAGGCTCAGAGTAGTTCAGTGACAGAAATGACAGTGGCGGAATCGGCCTTAGAACCCCTGGGTTTCTTCTCTTCCGGCTCTGTTCTGGTCTTCATACCCCACCTCCCCAGTTCCTCATTGTTTCTTGGCAGATGCTTTTCTTCCCAAGCAAAGCAGGCTCAGCTCGTGATGCCGCAGGCTGACCAGATCTCTGCCTCGGGGAGCTTCCCTGTGCCAGGCAGTGGCCTTGTGTGACGGCCACCCACCTCTGTACCCTCAGTAGGAAAACGTTATGCGGTGGAGACAGTGATGGCCAAAGCTGCTTCCCACAGGATGCGTGCCCTCTGGATTCGGTTTAAACAGGTTTTCCAAAGATGACAGTGTTTAATAGGACTGCCCACGTGCTCTCCTCCCCAGGTGCCAATGTGCCTTGCTATTTCCTGCAACCTGCTGAGCCCGCTAATGCTTTGGGATTTAATTTTTTAACTTGATGGGCGTCAGTTGACCCTAAAAACCTGTGCAATTTCTGACTTAAGTAACTTCCCTGTTGTCTGACGAGATTCTTCCAATTGTGTTTCCTAATTCTTAGATGGAAGGATTAAAAACTAATTTGAAAGAACAAGATAAAAGGATTGAAAATCTGAAAGAAAAAGTTAACATACTTGAAGCCCAGGTAAGGAGGGAATGTGATGTATATTTCAGTATGATTGATTGCGGGTGAGTGTGTGTGTGGGTTCTCGGTGTCTCCATGAGCCTGTGTGTGGATGTGTCGTGTGTGCTCGTGTGCCACTGTGACACAGTGAGTCTGTGTGTGCATGGGTGTGTGTGTCATTGTGCCTGAGTATCTCTGTGTGAGTGTACTTGTGTCTGTGTGTATATATGAGCGTCTTTTTGTGAGTGTGGGTAGATGTGTGTCTTCTATGTGTAAGAAATTATAGATTTGTGGGAGAGGTACTATTAATAACATTAAAGTATCAAACCTTATTTTATAACATTAAATACTATTAAGTAACTGTGGAAAGCTCACCCAAATATTCCAGAATGCTTGCTATATTGGGGAGATACAAAATAACATGTGGACGTGAATTAGAAGCCTGGTCAAGACCACCTTGTGTGAATTCAGACCCAGCCAGGTAGCTGGCTTTGCTGTCTTATATCTTTGTCTCTTTCCTGCCCTGAGATGTCCTTTCTTCTCCCCCTCCTTTTTTTTTTTTAATTTTTTAATGTTTACTTTTGAGAGAGAGAAACAGAGTGTGAGCAGGCAATGGGCAGAGAGAGGGAGACGCAGAATCCAAAGCGGGCTCCAGGCCGTCAGAGCAAAGCCTGATGTGGGGCTCGAACTCACAAACCACAGGATCTTGACCTGAGCCAACGTCGGACACTTAGCCGACTGAGCCACCCAGGTGCTCCTCTCTTTCCTCCTCATTTATCTTTCACATCGATCGCGGCTTCCGCCCTTTGCATCAGGGCTCACCCACTTCAAGAAGCCTGTTGTAATTTTCTTATTTTTCAGTGTTTTGAAATCTGAAGCCTAGCATAACGCTTCATAATTTACCATCAGAAACGTGCTTTTCTTCCCGCCCGCTCATCTCCACTTCACTAGGGAGGCCCTTTATAGACTTTCGGCTACAGACCCAGGCTCGGCTGTGCCCCACCTCCCAGCAAGTGCAGCAAAGCCCACACAGGGGTGGCTGGAGTGCCCAAGATGCCACAGCTGCATCCACCTGGGCTCTCGCTGGTGCTCAGGGCCACCGCTTCCTTCTCTGTCAGAGACTCATCATTCGCCGCCTGGATGGGTCAGCTTTTCTACTTCATTCTTCCGTGTTTCGACTTCCTGCCATGCACTCCTGTCCCGAGGAATACAGAGATGCTCTGACTTCCACTAGATTTCTCCTCTTCTCTGGGGGCTTCCCCCCCCCCAACAGGCTAGCCCAGGGAGGAGCCGCACCACCATACTCCCAGCACACTGCCACACCGTTTCTCGCACCACCGTGTTCTTTCTGCTTTCCCCAAACATATCATAATAACATGAAGAGGCCGTAAATATGTTTACATCTCAACTTTTGTAACCATTGCCGTGTTTTGCCATGTCGACCTTCCCAGAGGACCACTGTTCTCTCTGTCCTGGTGGTTGGGGCCTCGAAGCCTTGGGCTTTTCTTAGATTTTCACCTTCTTTAGGTTACACGTGACTGGTTGATAAAAATACTTGCATCTCTGTGCAGCTGAAAATGCAACGATTTTTCTGGAATAATTGGCTCAAAACTGGTTTCCCCTCCAGTGCCCAGTAACGGCTGGTCAGTCTCAAGGGGCCTCAGATGATGGGATTCATATCCCTTTGAGCCTCTTCCTCCCAAGAAAGGTATCTAAGGGTATTTCCTCACAGCTTTGTGTACTTTTGGCAAACATTTTGGCAAATGTTACTTGAGAGAATATTTTTTCTTTTATGATTTGTATGTAACTAATATATAGTCATTCGTTTCTATATAAATTAAGAAATATGGATAGCCAAATATAATAAGAAAATTATGCAAACCTGCCATCCATGAGTCAGCACAGTTGTGTATATCTGTTTTTCTATGGGACTCTTATATGGCTGGTACATATGTGTGCATAGGTATTAAACATATAGACTATTTATGGCATAATGTCTATATCACTGTATTTTTATTTATTTAATTTATTTAATTTTAAATGTTTATTTATTTTCGAGAGAGAGAGAGAGAGGTAGACAGGGAGGGGTGGGGAGAGACGGGGACAGAGGATCCGAAGCAGGCTCTGTGCTGACAGCAGAGAGCCTGATGCAGGGCTCCAACTCATCAACTGTGAGATCATGACCCGAGCTGAAGTCGTACACGTAACCAACTGAGCCACCCAGGAGCCCCTATTTCATTGTATTTTTAAGCTTTTATTCATTTCACTCATTTGCTCACATCATCAATCTTGTAGTTAATTCTATAAGTACCTATTGAGTGGCTACTATGATGTAGATGCTAAGGCAGGGCAAACAATATTGAATAAAATAGACATAAGTGAGCCCTGCACTCTGGACTTTACTGCCTAGAGAGGGAGACAGACACATAAATGAACACGTAACTTGCAATATTTTGGAAGCATTCTGCCAGAAAAGAACAAGATATTCTGAGAGAGAACACCTGGATAGAAGATTTAGATTGGTGGGTGGGAGCAAGCTCCCTAAGGCAATGAGTTTTAATCTGAGCTTAGTGGAAAACTGGGTGGTAGGGCAGGTCAGGCAGGACAGGGAGCCATTGTGATTGCTTCTAATCCGAGAGTGGTATGTAATAGCATGGAATGACATTGGAAAAGTAGGAAGAGACCATGCCAAGGAGTCTTTTTCTCTATATAGCAATATATCAAGAAATCTATGCTTACCAAACAGATTTCATTTGTATTATCTTTAAATGGCCACTATATTGATCTACAATAATTTAATTAACTCACTCCTTTTTGTTGGACCTTAGATTGTTTTTCAGTATTACAATTGTGGGGTTTTTGTTGTTGTTTTGAATTTTTTTAATGTTTATTTATTTTTGAGAGAGAGAGACAGAGCATGAGCAGGGAGGGGCAGAGAGAGAGGGAGACACAGAATCTGAAGCAGTCTCCAGGTTCCAAACTGTCAGCACAGAGCCCGATGTGGGGCTTGAACTCATGAACTGCGAAATCATGACCTGAGCAGAAGTCGGACGCTTAACCAACGGAGCCACCCAGGCACCCCTCAGTATTGCTTTTGTAAACAACACTGAATTCAACATCTTTATACAAAGATCACTAATCATTTACTTCCTTCCTTAAGATAAATTTTTAGAAGTGGAATTGGTAACTCAGAGTATATCCATTTTTAAGGTTTTTGATAATGTGTTCTCGGACTTCTAGGTTTCTGCAGGATCAGTCATCTCCCTCAGTGGCCACAGGCCCACCTGCAGCTGCCTCTGCTCTGGCAGTCAACAGTCCTTCAGTCCTCATATTTCCAATCTGCTGATAGTCTTTTTCCCCCCTCTCTATTACTAAGGGATTTTAATACATAGAAATCATTTGTTATTATTTTAATAAAATATAAGAAGGGGGAGATGATAAACACATGTTCTCAGATTCCCATTTTGGACTGGGAATCTCATTTAAATCCAAGTTTACATGTAATTCATGAAGTTTGGTGTGAGGTAGGGATCTAACTTTTTAGTTGTCTCACTTTACTGAGAAGTCTGGGCTTTTTTCATGCATTTGAAATGCCTTTTATCCTAAACTGAACTTTCATGTTGGAAATCTGTTCCAATGGTGTATCTGCCTGTTTTGGCTCCAGTGCCCTCTTGCTTTACTCACTGCACTTTGGTAATACATTTTAATTGGAGAGATTACCTGTCTCTGGGCTTTCACTGCATTGTGGTTCTGGGTTCTGGGTCAGACATAATGAAGTGCCAGCTGTCATCACAGGATCAAGGTATCAATGGTACTACCAGAACAATGTATTTGTTTCCAGTGTACTCTGTTTCTATTTTCTCAAAAATTCAGCAAATAATTGCTGATTAGCCACTTGGTATGATATGAGAAAGCAACAGATTTGTTCCCCTCATGGAAACTTCTTGGTTGGCCACAGACTCTTTGCAGTGATGTGAAAGCACCTCTCAATACTGTCTCAGATTCTCTGTAGATAGCTTGATTCAAGCCACTATATATTAATGTTTTCTTTTACAAAAAGGCTTCAAACTATGGCACTATTGGATGAATGTCTTTATATATTCTCAAAATTTATTATCTTCTGTAGATAAATCTTTTCCTTCACAGCAAGGAATTTTACAGTAACCACTTCAGCTTTATAAAGTCCAAACCACATGAATTTAATTTATCCATCAAATAGTTATGTGTCTTTATGATGTACCAGGAAATGTTTCAAATGTTGAGTATATGGGTAATGCACAGAACAGACTGTCCCTGACCTCATCTAGCTTATACTTTATTTGAAAATACAGATAATCGGGGCACCTGGGTGGCTCAGTCAGTTGAGCGGCCGACTTCGGCTCAGGTCACGACGATCTCGTGGTCCGTGAGTTCGAGCCCCGTGTCGGGCTCTGTGCTGACAGCTTGGAGCCTGGAGCCTGTTTCAGATTCTGTGTCTCCATCTCTCTGACCCTCCCCAATTCGTGCTCTGTCTCTCTCTGTCTCAAAAATAAATAAACGTTAAAAAAAATACAGATAATAACACACAAACAAGTAAATAAACAATTGGGGAGAATAAGTGTTCTGAAAAGCGTAGAATATGACAATATGTTAGAGAGTGATGGGAATCAGGAAAAGCATCTCTGGACCTGTGATATTTGACCACGTACTTGAATTTAGTGAGTGCTTGAGCCATGGTTACCCTATTTCTGGTCTGGTCCTAGTCAGTGATTATTATGAAGTTCTTAACTGGGATGATATATGCAGGGGTAGGCTGGCATTCACTGCAAATTTAAGACTGCTGCCTATTTTAGAATCCATTATATAACAGGATGAATTGATTCCATTTATAAAAAGTGGTCACCTGAGCTTGAACAACCTGTGTAAGCACATCACCAGTCTAAACCACACAGACAGCATAGTTTTCTCATCCATACCAGAAGCATTCATCTCTTTTTAGGCATGCTTACATGCTTCATTTTATTTAATCCTCAAAACTACTCTGGGAGAAAGTTATTACTACATTTCATAACTGATTAAACTGAGATTCAGAGAAGTTAAGAAACTCGTTCAACATCACTTTGCTGCATTGGAGTCTTCTTGCCTTGGAAGCACCTGCTCCCCTCCCCTCATCACCACCACAAAATCTGTTTATCTGAGTGATTAAATTAAGTGTGTGCTCAGGGGGTGTGTATGTGCATGTGCTTATATTAATGTGTGAAATATATGTGTGTACATACATTATGTGTTTAGAAATGAAGTCATTAAATTTGCCAGGCCTTTTACATTTATTTTAGTCATGGTCACATTTCCTATATTAAAATGATTTCCATTTTCCAGTTTTTTGAGTCATGGTAACAAATACTTTTTTTGGTAACAAATACTTTTTTCTGTGACATTCTTTCTGTTCTAGCAGGGTATTTTTACCCCCTCTCTGCAAGGGAGATATATACACTCATATCTCTATTCTTTAAAAAAACAATCTTTGGGGTGTCTGAGTGGCTCAGTAAGTTGAGCATCAGACTCTTGATTTCGGCTCAGGTCATGATCTCATGGTTCATGGGATTGTGCCCCTCATCGGGCTCTGTGCTTAAAGGACAAAGCCTGCATGGGATTCTCTCTCTCCCTCTCTCTCTCTCTGTGCTCCTTTCTGCTTGCGCTCTCTCTCGCTCTCTCTGTCTCTCTCTCAAAATAAATAAATAAATATTAAAAAGCTTTAAGGTTTAAAAAAATTTTTTTAATATCACTGGAAAATTTCCTGCTTAACTCTACAAAAAATATGTTTCTTTCTACTTTTGTATGATATCTTTATCATCTTAATCTTCAGCTCTGACATTCCTCTCACATTTCATGCATTTCATGCATTTTTAGCTTCCTCACTAATGACCTGCTGATAGGGAAATGTGTCTTCAGAAATTATACCATTTTCTAAACATTGAAGATTATCTTATTTTATATAGCCATCATCACCCCTAACATTTAATTTAACAAGAATGTGTTGGTAGAAAGTATGCAAAAAATTAGGCTCTCTTGTAAAATCATGTCAATAAACTATCCTTGGATAGAGTCATAAAAAAGCAGACATATTCTGGTCATTGATTTGTAGTTTTGTAAAGTAACGATGTAATAAAACTTGTGGATATGGCTGTTCTAATTAAAGGAAAAACTATGAAAGCCCATGAATCAAAAATAAGTATCTAAATCTAGCCAATGAAATAAATCAGCATGGAAGTTGAGATAAATGAAAATAAAGACAGTCTAATATGATAACTCCTATGCTTTTGCACTGTTTGGTACTCAGCAACTTGAGAAACTAGGAATTCGTTTTGGACAAAATCCCAGTAGCCTCTACGTAATTGTCCAGCCTGGATGATTTTAGTATTTGTTCTCATCATGATGTGATTTGAATTGCTTCCTAACTTGCAGAGTATTGTATACAGAGGAGTTTTTCTCAGCAACATACTTGGTCAATAATATGTGCCTACACTTGTTTGGAGTGTATATTAGCTTTACCTCCATTATACAAGGAACATCTTTATTGTCAGTTTATTAAATCTGAAGTACATTTCCTACATGAGACTTTAGTTAAGTGCTTGACTCTTGAAACGTCACAGTGAACGATCAATGTGTGTGAAGACTTTTGTTCCATTTTTTAGTTATTATGCAGTACAGATGCTGAGGGATATGAAGGGGCAAAATCCACATCTTGTCTCAGCTTTCCTTACTTCAATGGTTCTTCATCTTTTTTAAAAATTATTTTAAATTTTATTGAAATCCAAGTTAGTTACCATGTAGCATAATAATGATTTCAGGAGAATTTAGTGATTCATCACTTACATATAACACCCAGTGCTCATATCAACAAGCGCCCTCCTTAATGCCCATCCCCCATCTAACCCATCCCCCCACCTACCACTCCTCCAGCAACCCTCCGTTTGTTCTCTGTATAAGAGTTTCTTATGGTTTGCCTCCCTCTATGTTTTTATCTTAGTTTCTTCATCTTAGCAGCACATTAGAATTACCTATGGAGTCTTGAAAAGTCTTGAACCCAGACTGCAACAAAGTTAAACAGAATCTCTCGGATGAGACTCTAGATTCATTAGTTTTTAAATCTCTCCAGATAATTCCAATATACAACCAACACTGAAAACCAGCACTTTAGTTCAGTGGTTCTCAAACTTGAACAGACGTCAGAGTCATCTTAAAACACAGAAACACTTAAAACTTTAAGAAGTGAGCTTCTTAAAACACATTCCTTGGCTACCCTGGGTTTCTCAATAGGTCTTACTGGAGATTGAGGGTATGTAGTTCTAGTAAGTTCTCAGGTGACGCTGATATTGCTGATATCCCAAGATCACACTTTAAGAACCTTTTGCTCCCTTCTTTTCCACCTAGGCCATTTCATTTTGTCTTCAAGGTCCAGCTGAAATCTCCTTGTGTATGAAAATATCATAAATTATTCTGCTCACTGATTTCTGTTATACCTTTTACATAGTGATTACCTACTGCCTCTGGAATCTCCTGAACTTTTTATTTCTCATTTTTTAATGTTTACATGTTTGTTTTATCACTTCCACCATGCTGTGTATACTGTATACTGGAAAGGAAGATCCATGCTTTCTTGTGCGTCTTCACCTTCTCTCTGCCCATGGGTTGGTGCTATAGACATGGCAGAAACTAATTGGATAGATGGATGAATAGGTGGATGGATGCAGATTAATTATTGATTAATTTCCTGACAGTTTCCTTTCTTCTGTTTCATGTTTATCAGACCTGAAATCCCTTCAGAAATCATTGAATCTCTGTGTCTCCTGGGGCTCACCATTTACTTATTTGTAATATAAGGAGGCTGAGCTAATTCTTCTGGTTACAGAAAAAGAACACCTTTCAGGGAAAAGAGCATAGGATTTGGAGTCACACAGGACTGCATAAAGCTTGCACATTTGAACAGAGTCCTGCATATACAATGTGTGGGTTATCAGAAACAAGTTACCTAAACAATTTGAGTTTTGCCAGCCTTATTTCTTTAATATGCATAAGAATAAAAGTTATCAAAGAATAGATATATGGAAAGCACCTGGAAAAAGTCTTGACATTTGCTAGGCATGCATAACTATTAAACCTCTGGCTTCCATGAAAATTCTAACATGTTTCCCCAAAACATGCATTTTCGTGTTGGCTTGCTCCAAACCATCTGGTGGACTTTTAGGAAATACCTTTTAAACTTCAATTATATGACACTTTAGCTTCTTAATTTCCTAATAGGTATTGGAGCTGGTGTATTACTGTTCTTTTAAAGCTATAGCACCCCCTGTCAACCTCCCACCGAGCCACCCTTCAGTCCCAGACCCTACTATACTGGTGTATCCTTTAAACACCTCTGGCTTGCCAGTGCAGCCAACTGACAACTGTGAGCATGATGCTTTGCTGTTTTAAGTCTCATTTTCCAGATCTGTGGAATGAATGTGCTTGGTGTGACTATGCTGTAGAGGAGACAGTGGCACTGCAGCAGAAGGACATGACTTTGAACCCTGGTTCTGCCAGGAACAAGACGTTGGGCACTTAAGCTCTTAGGACCTCAGTTTTTAGTTATAAAAATGGTACTTGGACTAGAAAATCTTAAGTCTTAAGAATCTGTGCCAGACACTGGGCACAGTACATATTGAATATCTCATTTCAGAACTTGCGAAGAAAAAAACGATGATTCCACTTTACAGATGAGGACATTGGGCTCAGAGAGGTTAGGCAAACTAAGGTCACAAAGCTATCAAGTGGCTGTGCTAGGATTTGTACCTGAGAAATGAAACTGTTGCCTTCCTTATTATCAGCCATTGCATTATCTCCCAGAATTATAAGAGATTTAAAATATTATGATCATATGAGATTTTTCTTCCAACGACTTCAACATGGTAGGCAAGACATGTATTGTTTACCACTAGTATAGAGATCAAGAAACGGAGGCTTCAGTGAGAAAATTGAGGCTAAAAATGCCATGAACTATATGGTAAAGAACAGATGGTGCTTATTTTCATGGAATTTATAATCAAGAGATTGCACAAGAAAGACAAGCATGTAATAAATATTGTGGGTGTCTTTAACAAGGTTCTTTAATAAAGTTATTTTGTGAAGTTCTTTGCAACTCTTTCTACATAAAAGAAACTGTAAAATCAAACATAGTTCAGCTGTTGAATTTCAGAAGCTAATGTAGAATACTCTATTTTAATCCCTTGGAAAAGTATGCACTCTTCAAGATGTTTTTGTAATTTCAGAGATAATAGTGACTCTCAACTGGCTACATTCTGTGTTTTAATAGAGTGACTGAAACAACAAGCTTACTGCCAAGGAGTGATGTAGGTGGTGGGTTGATCAGAAGTATTAAGCATGTGGCTAATCAATGTGCTACCTATGTAATGTTTTGTTTTTTTTTTTCACTTTAGAATAAAGAACTAAAAACCAAGGTGGCACTTTGGTCTGAAACTCCTAGAACAACAGTATCCAAGGGTGTCTCTACAAGGTAAGTTTTTTCTTCCCCCACTGCCATCTGCCTTCACAGCTTTGTTGAACATTCATTCATGAATGTTGGCATCTATCCCACTTGAGAAATATTCCAATCTATTAATACTTATGTAATCACTTGTTTACTGTCTGTTTCCCAGTTCTTGAGAACTGGACCTGTGTTATTTGTTCAGCATTGAATCCTCAAAGCCTAACATATAAATACTTACTGAATAAATGAATGAATAAATTTAGATATCTTTTCTTGCTTTGTGCCATAAAACAAGCCAGGTATCTGCTTCAACTCTTTCTACAAGCAGTGCACATCATCTTCCTTATTGTCCTTGTTTTTCTGTTACTCCTGTTTTCTGTAGCATTGATGAACACTTTAATTATAAATTGTATTTATTTAAATGTCCACGACTGTATCTCAAACCAGGTAGATTGTAAATGTCAAGAAGCCAGGAATGGTTCCTTGTATTTCACTTTATTTCCTGCATTGCTAAGGGCAAGAGTCTTCAATAACTACCTAATAATAACTGAATCAAGCAATGATAATGACCCACTACAGCAATCAAAACGATAGTTGAAACCATCAAAGTCACTTTCTAATGGTGACAGAATCTGAAGTGACAAGTTGTAAAAAAAGAAGTTTTTTGGGGGGGCTCAAATCTTATTTCCATAATACTCTATGAAATTATCACTTAAAAGAAAACATAGTCTGTAATTACATGAATCATTTAAAAAGTGATTAAAAACTTCCTGTTCTAGCAGCTTTTGAATTTCCCAGTCTAATCCCTCTAGGGCAGAAGCCTGTTTTCTGAAACTCTCTTCTGTTCAGTGCCTGAGGTAGAAAATCAGGCCCTCTGTGATGAGTATCAGTCCAAGAATTCAGGTGGGTCCATCTCCCTTGGCAGAACTCCCTGCAGCCTTGCTTCCCTTTGCTAATGATATATGTAATGAGAGATGAGATGAAGCCATTCTGAATAGATTCTTCTAAAATTGTCAGTCCCCCTGATGCAAAGTTATCCACTTTTTGGCCAGTAGCCCTGAAACTTCCAATAAAGAAAAGAAATTGAGCCCCAGAAATATTACAGGAGGAAGTGAAATACCCACATTTCAGAAGCAGTGAGAGAAGTAGTCACTTCAGTGGGGGAAGAAATGAGTCCAGAACAGAAGAGCAAGCATGACTTTCAAAGGAAAAGGAAGACAATTGATTTTTTTATTCCCTTACCAGATACCAGTCCCCTTGGGGTGGTGAGGCATCAGCTGTTTTGACCCCGTAGGGAACGCAGCCAGAGTGGAGTGAAGGAGAGATCAACTGCTTGTCTATCTATTGTAACTACTCCAGTATTGAATGCAGAGACTCTAGCCCGTACAGAGGGAATGTGCTGGAAAGAATGACTTCTATGGCCAATTCTTTAGTTGTAGTAAATTCTTTGTTAAACATCTTTTAGTTTTAAAGATTTCTTTTCTTTCTATGACTTGGTAGGTCTCATGTTTACAAAATGAAATATGGCCAATTGGCTGCTTTGAGAACGTAAGTGGTAGTATGATGTGGTAATTCTGGGTTCACCCACATGCAGTGGAATTATAACTCAAGGGAGAGATTGGAGTAGAAAAGTAGCTGTTCAGGGGGAAAATCATATGCATTTAAAAATTAATCCAGGGGCGCCTGGGTGGCGCAGTCGGTTAAGCGTCCGACTTCAGCCAGGTCACGATCTCGCGGTCCGCGAGTTCAAGCCCCGCGTCAGGCTCTGGGCTGATGGCTCAGAGCCTGGAGCCTGTTTCCGATTCTGTGTCTCCCTCTCTCTCTGCCCCTCCCCCGTTCATGCTCTGTCTCTCTCTGTCCCAAAAATAAATAAACGTTGAAAAAAAATAATAATAAAAATTAATCCAGGCAAATCTCTTTACCCACAAAATATAATTCTGTATCTCTCAGTAAATACTAAAAAGCAAGGTGGTGTCTTTGAGCATTAAAACATATAGATGTTAACACCAGAAAGGGTGTTTGCTGGAGATTCAGGGTCATGTTCTTAGACAAAAACAGCAACAAAATGCACATACAAACGTGTGTGTGTGTGTATATACACATATATACATACATATATATTGTAAATACTGGAATCACACCGTGAGGGGAGAAGTTCAGACTTGAGAAGCCCACAGGACTCAAACATCCTGGCAGGAGGGTTGATTCGTGTTTCCTGTCTCCAGGTCACTCCAATGCATGCCTTCACTGCATGGAATGGCAGATATAGTCTAATTCTCTCTCACTTCCCCTCTTCCTCACTCTTGTCCCTCTACAACTAGCTGAATTTACATAAGTTAGATGCTTCCACAGTATGATTCTATCATGTCTCATGGGGAATTAGTCAACCAATTAACCACCAGATCTCTTAGATTAAAGCAATTAGTTCATATTTGGTCGTATAGCAGTGGTGGAGATGGAAATGGTGGTGATACACCAATTATATCACTAAAGTTTAATGTGCTCTCTATCAATAATTATTTGATCTTTTCTATAGTGAATTGAAGACTGAAGGCACTACGCCCTATCTGATGTTGATCAGGCTCCAGAAATGAGCTGACTAGCTGAAGATCTCAATAAGAAAGATCACTATGTGGGTCTTATTTATTCCTTGAAACACAGACTAAATGTGCAAGTTAAAATGGCTCACTGGCAGTATTCAATGGGATTTATTATACGTCAACGGCTCTGCAGGAAGAGGACACTCCAGAAAATCAAACAAATGTATATTCAAGGCAAGGAACTCTTCCTTCAAAACTTACTGAATGGGTGAAGAGACCTGGGGCATTTGATGGAAGATGAATTTTGCTTTAAACTTCAAAGAGAATCTGAATATTTTTTGCAGATTTTTGCTGAAGTGAGTGGTTTAAGGTTGTCAACTATAACCTTCTGATACTGGTTTTTATGTATATAAATGGAAGAGTGTATGTACATGTGTGTGAATAAATGATATATTTTAAAGTTAACTTTGAATAACAAGAAATATCCTAACATGAATTTATAAATTCATCTCCTGACCTATCGTTAGTAAGAGAGTTATTCTCTATGGCATTATGGGCAGAAGAAGTAGGTTCTTTTTAGCTAATTCCCCAATCTATGCAGCCCTCCATTGCTAAGCATCACGGCATTTTACCGCACCTCTGGAAGCCATTGTTCTTCAGCTGGGACTGAGAATTGGTTGCGAGAGATAACCCACAAGTAAGCATGAAGAAATGCAGTTTGTGACTCTGACCTGGTGCCTAATTTTCTTTATAAGATTCATTGTATTAGCTAAGAAAATATTTGGGGGAAAGAATAGGAACACAATGCCGTCAGCTCACACCTTCACAAAAATACGTGTATTGTGGGTTAAGAGGAACAGTGGCTACTGTCTATAGCTGGGAAGATTCTCAATCCATCGTATGTCCAGTGCCTTGGTGAAAGTGTGCTTGCATTTTGATACAGGCATTCATCACAGGTGAGTTTGTGCTTGCTATGAGGAAAACCAGGCTCTAATTTGTAGAAGTGCAAACGGGCTAACAGGATAGAAGGCACTTGCACTAAATGAATAATGGGCAGACTTAGCCCTGCTGAAGGGTGAATTACTTGTAAGCCTTTTGATTATCCTCTCTGGTGTACGACTGTAAACATTTTCTCAGGAAAGCTGCTTCAAGCCTTTCAATGTGGAATGTGAAATATCAGTATTATCTATGAAATATTTAAAAATACATTCAAATGAGATTAAGTGACGCATTTATAAATTCATTGACGTACTGTAATCCTTGAAATGTTGCGTAACTATATGTGTGCATTTCGTGAATCATGTTTTTATTGCTTGCTGGTTTTGCAGATGTAGTTATTTAATAGCATTTATGACACGGCTCCGATGCCAGGAACAATTCTAAGTACTTTACCTGTATTAATTGCTTTAATCTACCCAAAAGACCTCAAAAGCAAGTCATACTATTACCATCTCACAGGGGTGGATGCTGTGAGGTCTGATAATTTTCCCTGCTGCTACAATGGAGCGAGGATTTGGACCTCTTGATTTGGCTGTCAGTATTCCTTCTACCTGCTCGCTTGATGGTCTGAGATACTCCCACACTATAGAAATGCTTTTTCTTTTTGCTACTTTAATGAAACAGCTTCCTTGTTTCACAGGGTCTGCACCATCCTGTGAGTGACAGAAAGAACCTTTACTCATAAAGTAAATATTTTCCTGCAATAAGTTGGCCTTTCACCTACTTCGACTACCCTCATAAGAACGTAGTTCAGAACAACTTGCTAAAAATCTTCTAATTTTACATTTATTATCATGACCTTATGCCACATGGAAGACGTTTTGGCAGTGTATTTTCAGGCACATTGTGGGAGATTGGGATCATGAATTCTGCTTCAAGCATTTGCAGTGTAGTGTGTGAATTCACTTTTCACCTGGTGATCACTTAGGTTCCTCTTACACCTCAATCACCAAGCTGGATGTTAATAAATGCGAGATTTTGGAATGGATCCATTGAACAGACCTAACAACCAGAATGATTCCCATTAGAATAATGTATTCTAAAGACAAAAATAGGAAGACACTGCTGGATTTAATGTAGGTCTCACTCTGCTCATTTTTGTTTTGTTTTTTGTTTATTTATTCTTTTTTTTAATATGAAATTTATTGTCAAATTGGTTTCCATACAACACCCAGTGCTCATCCCAACAGCTGCCCTCCTCAATACCCATCACCCACCCTCCCCCCCCTCCCTCCCACCCCCCATCAACCCTCAGTTTGTTCTCAGTTTTAAGAGTCTCTTATGTTTTGGCTCCCTCCCTCTCTAACCTTTTTTTTCCCTTCCCCTCCCCCATGGTCTTCTGTTAAGTTTCTCAGGATCCACATAGGAGTGAAAACATATGGTATCTGCCTTTCTCTGGAGGACTTATTTCACTTAGCATAACATCTTTGAACACGGAAGTACCACTGGATGTGATACGGAAAGGAGGTGCTCATGTGCCCTCCATGTTCACCTTGGAATGTTCTTTGGATTTCCTGAGACTAAGATCAAGCAGTTTCAGCAGCGTAAAAAGATCTGGACTCTTCAAATACAAAAATATCTTTTTAATAGTATCAGCAGTATCATTTATTTGTCATATATAGATTATTTCCTATATCTTTACTGTCTCAGCTTTTATCATTTGGAATGTTTTTGGAATAAATATTTCTGAGCCATAAAACAAACAATTACAATGGAGAATAAAAAGTATTAATCTGAAAGTAGTATCACACGAGAAATACAGGAAAAGAAATACCAGTTCAGTTTTAGCCTAAATAATTGTGCTTATAATTATACTAATTAATATATTAAATAAGAAGGCCTGAAGTGGACCTTGAAGTGAATATATGAAGGTAGAAATGAAAAGAAACAGTTTCACTTTGATTACATATATCATTACGAATTACCATTAGGAAATGTTCAAGCAACAAAGAGAAACGTTTAAATAATTGGTGTAATACATCTATCTTTTGAATAATTGTTTACAATAAAGAAATTGATATCATGTTTTATTTTTTGTTTTTATTTCTTTTTACATTAAAATTATGATGTATAAGTAGAGGTGCCTGGGTGGCTCAGTTGATTAAGTGTTGACTTCAGCTCAGGTCATGATCCCATGGTTCTTGAGTCTGAGCCCCGCATCCAGCTCTGTGCTGACAGCTCAGAGCCTGGAGCCTGTTTTGGATTCTGTGTCTCCCTCCTTCTCTGCCCCTCTCCTGCTTGTGCTCTGCCTGTCTCTCAAAAATAAACATTAAAAAAAATAAAATAAAATAAAATAATTATGCATAAGTAAATTAAGCCATTTTTATTTGATTGTTCATGACAATAAAATCCATAATCAATGGATTGGTTTTGCTAGTGAACAGGTAGATGACTCCCTGAATTTTTCTGCTAATTTTTTCTTGGATCCAAATTAATGGGAAAAAGTAATCTATTAATATTTTATTCTGAATATGAAAAAATAGTAGCATTATAAAATTAAGAACACACTTTTCAAATTCTTTCATATTTCTTTACTTTCTTTACCTCTCCTCTGAGCCTGAGGTAATCATAGAATCCTCATCAATATTGATGTAAGGATCCATTCCATCAAGAACTGAAAATTCCTTCAACTAATGTCATAATCATTTTAATTCCTCCCTTCCACCTTTTTTGCTTCCTTCCATTTTTTTTGGGGGGTGGGAAATATTAAGATTCAGTAAAGACTTAGATAATCATATTTAATTGCTGTGTTATTATTAAAATATATACTTATAAGTGTTTAAAACTTGAAGCAGAATTACAGAAAATTGGTATTTATCCTAGGCATGCAAGGTTGATTTATCATTTGAAAATAAGTCAATGAGTGACACCTGGGTGGCTCAGTTGGTTGAGCTCCTGATTTTGGCTCAGGTCATGATCTCTTAGTTTGTGAGTTCAAGCTCCACATTGAACTCCCTGCTGTCAGCACAGAGCCAGCTTCGGATCCTCCACCCTCCTTGCTCTCTGCCCCTCCCCCTGCTCATTCTGTCTCTCTCTCCCAAAATATTTTAAAAAATCAATGTAAGTAACCATATACACATAATAAAGCAGAAAAATCATATGATTATTTTAATAGGTGAAGAAAAGTATCTGACAAAATTTAACACTCATTCATGATAAAAACTCAGCAAACTGGGAATAAGAAATTTTATCCTTCGGATAAACAGCATTTACAAAAAAGCTTTCAGTTCATATCACTAATGATGAAAGACTAATATTGAGATGGTTGCCCTCACCACTTTTCTTAAACATTGTACTCTAAGTCCTAGCCATTGGAATATGTCAAGAAAAAGAAAAAGGAAGAAAAGGCATACAAATTGGAAAGGAAAAGTAAAATGTCCATTGTTGTTCATGCAATTGTTAATGTAGAAAACTTTAATGAATCTACCAAACAGCTACTAGAACTAGTAAGTAAAGTTAACAAGGTCACAGATTACAAAGCTGAAATTAGTGAAATTGAAATTAAACATATTAATAGTTTGCTATTGGTGAAAACATACACAAATATCTAAATGGATGGAAAGGAGTATCCATAAATAGACCCATCTATGTGATTTTTTTTTATGTGATTGATTTTTGACAAAGCTGTCAAGGCTATAGAAAGGAGACAGGAAAAGTCTTCTAAACGGCATTGAAAATACTGCAAGTTGTTGTGGGTGTTTTTCTTGCTGTTGTTTATTTTTGAGAGAGAGAAAGACAGAGTGTGACAGGGGCAGAGACAGAAGACACAGAATCCGAAGCAGACTCCAGGCTCTGAGCCATCAGCACAGAGCCCTACATGGGGCTCGAACCCACAAACTGCGAGATCATGACCTGAGCCAAAGTCAGACTCTTAACTGAGCCACCCAGGCACCCCTACTGCAAGTTTTATATGTGAAAAAAAATTAGCATCAATTCTTATCTCTCACAGTGTATAATTAACATGAAATGTACACTATACCTAAATGTAAAACGAAATTAAAATTTCTAGCAGAAAACACGGTCTCTTTGCAACACTTTGCAAACTTTGTGTTTAGTACACAAAGAACACAAACCATAAAAGAAAAAAAATTGATGATTGAACATTAAAATTCAAATATTGTGCTCTTTGAAAGACACCACTAAACAAATTTTAAAAAGCAACCTACAGAATGGGTGAAAATATTCACATGTATAGGATTTGTATTCAGAATATATAAAGAACTTTTAAAACAATGAGAAGACAAACTAATAAACATATGGACAAAAATGTTCAGAGTCACTTTTTTTTTTTTCAACGTTTTTTATTTATTTTTGGGACAGAGACAGAGCATGAACGGGGGAGGGGCAGAGAGAGAGGGAGACACAGAATCGGAAACAGGCTCCAGGCTCCGAGCCATCAGCCCAGAGACTGACGCGGGGCTCGAACTCACGGACTGTGAGATCGTGACCTGGCTGAAGTCGGACGCTTAACCGACTGCGCCATCCAGGCGCCCCCAGAGAGTCACTTCTTAAAACAAGATAGACAAATTACAAATACACATATGAAAAGATGCCTCATCAGTTGCCTATCAGGGGAATGCCAATGAAAACCACTAAGAAATAAATACCAAACACCCACTAAAACAGCTAAAATACAAACACTGGCCTTATTGAGCATATGGAGAAACAAAATCATGTGCTAAAGGCAAGAATGCAAAAATGGTACCAGCACTTTGGAAACCAGGCTGTTTCTTTAAAAGTTAAATATACACCTGCCATATGACCTAGCTGTTCCATTCTTTGTTTTTTGTTTTTGTTTTACCCAAGAGAAACAACAGCTTCTGTCCACAAGAAATGTGTATCTGAATTTTCATGGCACCTTTGGTTGTGATAACCAAGAACTAAACACAAATGTCCATTAACAGGTGATACAAAACATAGTACATCCATACTTTGGAAGAGAACTTGACAATAAAAAGAAACAAAGCATAAATATATACAACAGTGGATAAACTTCAAATCATTATACTTAGTGAAAGAATCTAGAGGAAAAAAAGAGGACATACTATGTGATCCCATAGTGAAAGAGAGCAAATCAGTATTTGCCTGGGAAAGGGAGTAGAGGGAAAGTGCGAATAGCAATACAGAGAAATATATGGGGGTAGTAGAAATATCCAGTGTGTAGATAATGGTTATGTTTTCATGGATATCTTCCATGCCCAGAACCAATATATTGTACAATTTA